GGCGACCCGGGCCCCACGGTCCTGGGCCAGATGGATGTCGGCCTGTTATGCGGAAGCGGTGCGTTGCTGGGACATGCCGGGGGCACGGGGGGACTGGCGGTCGGGGCCCTTGGCAGGGTGACCCCGGTGGCTCGGTCCCCTCGGGCCTACGGGGGTCCCAGTAAACACCCCCCGCAAGCAGGGGCCGGCCCACTGGCTTCGGGACGGTGGCCGCCGGCGGTGGCGTCTCGGCCCTTGGGTGGGCCGGGGCGACGCCGCCCGGTGGATGGAGGGAGAGGGGCGCCAGTTGGCTGGGGGGAGGACTTGGTGGCGGGGGGAGGCGAAGGAAATTCGAAGTGGGAGGGGAAAACGTCGGAAAGCGGCGCGGCAGGCTTGGAGAGGGGGTGGAAACTCGCCAGTTGGCGTGATGGACAATTGGCTCAGGGGCGATGGGGGCGAGCGTCACAGAGCGCCGGCATAGGCGCCGGCTCACGGCAAGCGAGCTGGGGGGGGCGAGGGGCGCGCCAGCCAACATGGAGTGCAGAGTCGCCAGGTCACATATATAGATATATATGTATGGATCCCCGCACACGTTGGTGTGGACGGCAATGAATATGCTGATACCGAAGCAAAAGGTGCAGCGCTTCTTGGTGGGGGGATGGAGGGTGCGACCGGGACGGGAGAAACAAGAAAAAAAACAACAACTTCTGCGCAAATCGAACTTTTGAAATTGCACCACAACGCCTTGGGCTAAAGCCTCATAAATAGTCGCAATTTAATTGTAACTCCCTGCTCCATCGATTGATACCAACTTTATATTGGTAGCAAGTATGGTGGCGCCGGGAGGCCAGTGGCCCCTTCTTTCAGGGGGTCGTGAAAATTCTGCATCGAACATCAACGAGCGCATATTAGACGCAAACTACGACGTACGCCAGTTGCTGGATCATATCAGCAGTAATAACTCGCTGAAAATCCCCAGACCAGTGTTGGACTTCCTGAAATCAATCAGGGAACTTACCGCCGACATCATCAAGAACCCGATCGGCCAGGACTGGAAGCAGCAATTTGAACAGCTGCGCCAGGAGACCAGCCAGATAAAACAAGACATCCATGCGATGAGGATCGCGACGACAACAGCCAACGGACCGAGTACCAGGATCCGATCGTACGTAGACGCAGTCAAGAATGCACCACCGCCGACGCACTTCCTCTCGAGTCATGGCAGTGCGTCGACCAACCCCGCAGCCCCCACCGAACTCATCCACGACCGAAAGATCATCGTCAAACTGGGTGACTCCGATGGCGTAAAGCGCTTCCGGACACAAACTCCTGCCGAGATCACCAAGCTGGCTGAAAGCCCGGGTGAAGGGAGCGAAGGAGGTAACCGGACTGACGATGGCTTCGGCAAAGTTTGTCGCAGCCAGGCAGCTTAAATCGGGTGATCTCTCGCTGAGTCTGCGGACTGCGAAGGAGGCGGAGATCATGAGATGCCACCGTCAGGTCTGGGTGAAGCATCTGTGGAAGGGATCGGAGGTGCGGCTGCCGAGCTGGGGGGTTGTTGTGCACGACGTTAACGTGCGATCTCTGGGAATTGACACAGCGGCGGAAATTAAGGACCGGAAACAGGGAATTATGAAACAGCTGCTGACGGAGAACCTGTTCAACTGGAGAGACGACGCTGAGATCGTGCAGATCTCCTGGCTAGTCCTTCCCGAGGGCAAGAAATCCGGATCCCTGATCGTCGAGTTTACCTTACCACACACAGCCAACAAAGCCATCGACACTGGGACACTGTGGGACTCGGAGGTTCTTACCACGGTCTTATACGATCGTGCTGCACGTATACGCCAATGTCACAACTGTCAACGCTACGGACACATAGGAAATGTAACGGGCCAGGGCCACGTTGAGGCTCGGGCTTTGCCCGTGCAGACACCGCACCCGATACTGCCGAACGGGTAGCCTGACCGCCCTAGGGAACACTATACAGCAGTTGACCGCTCCCTTGTTTACGGTTCTCTAAGATTTAGATAAACAGCATGCAGGCACCGCCTAATTGAATCAATTCAGCTGTAGCCCTTCACAGGAAACACTTGTTCCAACGTAAGCAGGTGCGTCTTCTGCGCTGAGACACACCACTCTCGGTATTGTCGAGGCAAGAAGAACGCCACACTCAGCGAACGCAAGTGCGCCAATTGCGGGGGCGCACACAACGGATGGTCGAAGCGGTGTCCTGAATTCATCAAGGAGATCGAGAGAGTGCAGATCCTCGCGCAGGCGAGAGAGCGACACCACCGGGTTCCGGCATACCTCTCGATCCAGGATACAGGAAGAACTCCGGCATCCCCTACCACCACTACCACCACCACGAGGGAGGAGGGTTCAGGAGGTAGCGGCTCCAGGATCTCCACGACGGAAAGCGGCCCACCGAGATCATCAAGGCTATCAAACAGCAGAACAGCTGCCAAGACAGCGAGCTCGAAGAAGAGCGCTCGCTCCACTATTAGCGAGAAGGAATCAACTTCCAATGCCACAGACGCCATGGAAATTGATACCACAGAGCCATCACATGGTTCGCAGGAGATACAAGCCCAAACCCAGACCCAGGACATGCTACGGGGACCAACATTCACGGTCAGAAGGGATGAGGCAGAACGGATTGGGGAATCGCTTCGCCAGTCGATTCACGCACCAACAGGGGTACAGTCTGAACCTCCGAGACGGAGAGCACAGAGCCGTGCATCTGCATCTACCTCCTCATCGATAGCGACTCGAAGCAAAGGCCTTTTTAGCAAAGTGCTCCAGGTCTCAAAGAGAGCACGCACAGAGCACACAATTCTGGAAGACGAAGACGCAGACCCGATATCCGTAATCGAGTCTGCTGTCACGGGCCAGAGCCCATTGGATATCACGTGCTACCACGTGACCCACACCTGGGGTTATTATGGAGAACCCCGCGTCAGATAGTTCCTTTCCTCAAGATGAATGTAAAACAGCATGTTGGCCTAGCCCTAATTGAATCAATTCAGCTACAGCCCTTCACATCTGCGTCCTCAGTCGCGGCCAAGACGGTTAGCGACTACCAACCATCGTCCATTCTATCACAGATCGACCAGAACAACCGTGCACAACAGACTCGAAGGAAGAGTGCACCTAGCAAGGAGAACGCACTTGGCAAGGAGAATGCACCGATCTTCGGCTACGACAAGCCAGCACACACCCCAGGACCGAGAGTGTAAGACCCCGTTACGAGGGTCTTGGGACTTAGGTGGATTCGGGCAATAGAATGGAGAAAGCAGTAGACAGGTTCAATGCTGAACTAATCGCTGGAGTCCAAGACTCCAGCCTCTGAACTGTTTATATACAAATGTGGGGTCATGTGAGGTCATGAGCCCTCGCATTGCGGGTCTCAGCCCTGGGTCTAGTTCGCAGGTGCGAACTGGCCATCTCGCAGTCTGTGTGAGACTGCGAGATATATATCGTCAGACCTGCTTAGTACTTGGGTCCTGACAGAGAGGCCGCAACAAGCGGGCCCACCAGGACCAGGTTGACTTCACAATGTCAGCACCAGCTGTTAGGTTCACCAACAGGGCAGGCCTCCAGGACGAGAGAAGAACACGCCAATTCACCAGGAAGCACACCGACAATAAGACTCATGAATAATACACCACTCACAATAATACAATACAACACGCACCGTTCGAGAGATGTCGTTATGGCGGACTTTCTGTCGAAAGCAGCTGTCCAAAAAGCCGATATCATTGCGATACAAGAGCCATGGGAAAACCCATACAGCGACACAACATATCACCCACTGAAGCAAACACATGAGCTCTTGTTTCCGTCTAGTGCGGAGACAGGAGGGAAATCTCGTGTGTGCATATATATCTCGAAACGCTTCGGGACCGAATGGACACATCATGCACACAGTGCATTCTGTCAGGAAGTACGCTTCCTATCGCCAACACTGGGAATGCTCCGAGTACTCAACATATACAATGAATGCGGAACCACTAGCACAGTAGAGATGTTACATGAACTGTTAAACCCCCGTGATCAGATCATACTACTTGGAGATTTCAACCTCCACCACCCAGCATGGGGAGGTATCGATAGCAGACAAGACCCCGGATCCGACAAATTGATCGAGCTGTGCGACGCTGCAGATCTCGACCTGTGGCTAGAGCCAGGCACAATAACCAGGGACCAAAACGGCGACCAAACCACAATCGACCTCTTTTTCGGATCCCCCACTCTCACAGACAGGCTGGTGGTGTGCGAAGTGGCCATGGATTGCCACGCAGACTCAGACCACCTGCCAATCCGGGTAATAGTGGACATCGAAACCCCACCGCCCCCAAACAACACAAAACGACGACTCTGGAAGGTCATGGACACGGAAAAACTCGAGAAATTTGTGACCCAGAACCTGACCAGTCTACGATCATGGGCCCTCGACACACCGCGTCAGATCGACGACGCGGTAGAACAACTGATCAACATTATACAGCGGGGGGTAGAAGAGTCGACTCCTTGGGCCAACCCATCTCCACAGGCCAATCGGTCATGGACTAAGGAATGTGGAGAAGCTGTCAAAGAATCGAGACGACAGTTCCGACGATACCGGTCCACGCACAGCGCCGATGATTGGGAAACGTACAGGGTTGCACGCAACCAGAAAGGTAGGATCATCAAGAGTGCACTACGGAAGGGCTTCCGAAAGTTCATCGAGGAGGCCGTTGAGCAAGGACCACAGGGACTGTGGAGAGTGTCCAAATGGGCCAGGAATCGGGGCCAGCAACAACAAGGCAGCGTCATGCCGGCACTACGATCTGCTAACATTAACGACAACAACGATATATTTGCGGAGACGGATGCGGCAAAGGTAGAAACACTACGGAGTGCCTTCTTTCCACGACCACCTGACGCGGACCTTTCCGACATCGCGAACTCACGCCAGCGTGCCCCCTTTCCGATGCCGGCCATCACAGAGAGTGAGGTCAGGGCTGCGCTAAAACGTGCACCACCAGACAAAGCACCAGGAATTGACACACTGCCAAATAAGGTGTGGAAAGTTCTGTCACAGGGATCCTCGGAGAGACGGTTCATCCCGATCATCACGGCAATCTTCGACGCATGCCTTACCATCGGATACAACCCCAAACACTTCCAAACGTCTGTCACAGTAACACTCAGGAAGGCAGGACCCCGGGACTACCGAGTACCGAAATCGTACCGGCCTGTGGCTCTGCTAAACACACTCGTTAAGATCCTGGAGGCGATCATCGCTACACGCATCGCGTGGATGGTGGAAGAGCACAAACTGCTCCCGAATACACACCTCGGCGGGAGGAAAGGCATCTCTGTCGACCATGCCATCCAGCTGATCCTCGACAAGGTGCACCGTGCATGGGGAGAAGGTAAGGCAGCAAGCATGCTGCTCCTCGATGTCGCGGGAGCATACGACAACGTTTCACACGAGCGGCTACTGTTCAATATGGAACAAATGGGACTAGGAAATATTGTCCCGTGGACAAGATCTTTCCTCACAGATCGGTCCACACGAATTAAGCTGCCGAATGGCTACCTCAGCGAGGAATTTGTCAGGACCCAAGTACTAAGCAGGTCTGACGATATATATCTCGCAGTCTGTGTGAGACTGCGAGATGGCCAGTTCGCAGGTGCGAACTGGACCCAGGGCTGAGACCCGCAATGCGAGGGCTCATGACCTCACATGACCCCACATTTGTATATAAACAGTTCAGAGGCTGGAGTCTTGGACTCCAGCGATTAGTTCAGCATTGAACCTGTCTACTGCTTTCTCCATTCTATTGCCCGAATCCACCTAAGTCCCAAGACCCTCGTAACGGGGTCTTACAGAATTCCCGACACCGACTGGCATCCCACAGGGATTACCGATCTCTCCGATTCTGTTCCTTCTATTCAACGCACCACTGGTCCGTGTGTGCACCCAGAACCCCTGGTACGGCCAAAGTGAGGCGTACGGATGGGTCGACGATGTTTGTATTGTGGCAGTCTCTAACAGCTATGAGCAAAACACATGGTTGTTAGAGAAAGCGCTTTAGAAAGCAGATAAAGGGGCCAGAAAACATGCAGCGAGGTTTGCACCAGATAAATTCGAACTACTACACTTCACAAACCCACGGACCACCAAAAACATAGTCCAACCCAACACACAAACCGGTACACAAACCAGCACACAGACACAATCGGACCTGACTGATATCTGGCAAATTCCCGATGACCCATCGGGACATGACGGCATGCCGGTCAAGGTCCCGGGAGAACCACCGATAATTCTTGAACCATCCAACACGGCCAAATACCTCGGTGTCTGGCTCGACAAACATCTGAACTTCACAAAGCACCGGAAGAAGATGCTTGCAAAGGGGGCCGGCAGCCTTGGAGCCCTCCGGGGCATCTCAGGATCCACGTGGGGTTCATCACTGACAGCCATGCGGACGGTGTACCAGGGCGTAATCATCCCACAGGTTCTGTGGGGGGTGTCCGCATGGTTCTGCCCGCAGGCAAGATCTATGCCACGCGGAGAGATGGAGAAGATGTCCAACGAGCTAACCAAGCTACAAAAACGAGCGGCAATCCTGATAAGTGGAGCATTTCGAGGAACTGCAGGCGCAGCACTGAATGTGGAACTATTTTTGCTTCCGATCAAATTACGACTACACCAAACCATCGAGGAATCTGCCATTTGAGTCCTCACTGGCCCACGGTGGGCGTGCCCTCAAACAGCCAAAGAACCAAGGAAGCCCGCACAAAGGAGGCGAGGAGGATGGTCTCCAACAGAAGCAATCGCTTGGAAGACACTGAAGTTGGACAACGAGGTGTGGGAGGAGAAAGGAGCATTTGTCCTTGCACCATGGGAGAATCCAATCACCTGCGTGATCGAGAGCCAAGAAGCGGCATTGGAAACCCACAGCCAGATCTTCCAGCAGGCAGTCATGGACCAAAACAAACGGACAAAAATGGTATTCACGGACGGGACCGGCTATGAAGGACACATTGGTGCGTCTACAGCCTGTTTACTGCACGGAGTAACCTCGGAGCGGAGATATTTGGGCACAGACTCCCAGTCCACAGTATATGCAGCCGAGCTCAACGGCATTGAAATGGCACTAGCAGCAGCTAGACAAGACAACAAGGGACGAGACAGCGAGGGACACACGGCTCGTGAAGTGATAATTTTCTCTGACAGCCAGGCTGCCATTCAGGCAGTCCAAAACCCACAGCGACCGTCTGGCCAATACGTTCTCACCCGAGTTTATGAACACGTACGGGCCATCCGGTCGCAGAACCAGAGGCAAGATCAACACAACAACGTTAACATCACCATCAGGTGGATCCCCGCACACGTTGACGTGGCCGGCAATGAATTTGCCGATGAGGAAGCGAAGGGTGCAGCGCTTCTCGGTATGGGGATGGAGGTCGCGACCGGAGACGGATCGGATAAACCAATTATCCGTCTCGCCGCAGCCGCCAAGCGGGCAGTCCGACAAAGGATTCGGGAACGTTGGAATAAGCAGTGGGAGCGGGAACCCACTACGGGACCCACAAAACGCTTGGTGCAAGCGCCAAGTAAGAAGACCCTCCGCTTATACGAGGGACTGTCGAAACCGCAGTGCGCGATCTTGATTCAGATGCGCACGATGAGGATCGGTATCCGGCACTTCTTGTTCAAATTCAAAGCTGCAGATTCGGATATATGTAGCTGTGGGGAGGGCTCTCAAACACCAAAGCACATTATCATGCAGTGTTCACTGTACGCGAAGCTTCGCATGCGACTGTGGGGGCAGATCAGCCGGATCGAGGGATTAGAAACAGACTACGACAAGATCGTGTCTCACCCGCAGGCCACCCGCTACGTGGTCAACTTTATGCACCAAATAGGTCTCCTCCAGCAATTTCAACATGTGGAGCTAGGAAACAACGACGACGACGAACAAACTGGCCAACGGGCCATGGACACAGGCGTGGAAGACGATGGGTAAACGACAACGAAGCGAGCGAAACCGGGTATCGAGAGGCTCGGTGACAGTCGACAAACATGCTGGACCAATGAACTGGCCAGTAGCCAACACAACATCAATTGAAACGGAGGCAAGGGGAGGAGAGGGATGGTGATGTGAGGGAGTGAAGCATGGCAGGAAGATGAAGGGTGGGAGATGGAGGGTGCACTCCATGACGATCATTGTGGGATTTCATTTGTATTGGGAATTATTTGTTTTGCGGGCTGGCAGGCAGGAAATGGGCTGATTTCCGCACTCTTTTCAAATAAGCATCTGTTTCCTCTTTGGGTAAATCCCCAGCTCTGGCGTTTGGCTACGAGTTCTTGCTTCCGCTGGAGGGAGCGCCTGCATAGTTATACGCAACTAGTTAGACTGCAACAGGTTAATTGAACTTTGATTGATTGATTGATTGATTGATTCTGCATACCTATGGAACGAAGAGCTAGACAAGACCCTTTGTGGTATGGGTTTCCAATCATTGGAAGATGACCCCTGTGTTTACAAGAAAGGTGTCGGTGCAAAGATGACCATCCTGATGCTTCATGTTGATGATCTCATTGTTGCTGCTCCTTCTGATGAAGAGATTGACGCCGTGATCGCTCAACTAAGCAAGCATTACCCCCTGAAAGACCTCGGTGAACCGAAACAGTACCTTGGCTGCTTGCTGGAGCGAGACTACGACGCCGGGACTATTCAGATGTCCCAGAAAGCCTATGTCCAAAAGATCCTACACAAAGCAGACATGGTGCACTGCAAAGGAAGGAATATCCCATTACCGGCGACATGGAACTGGTCCGAAGGCCACGAGGATGCAACCTCGACCCTTGAAGACAATGACGACTACTTATCAGTTGTGGGAAGTCTGAACTGGTTGGCAATGCGTACGCGCCCCGACATCAGGTTCTATGTTACAAAGCTACAACACAAATCTGCGAATACCATTATTCACGACCAAGAAGCTATGGTGCAGGTCCTTCGTTACCTCCGAGAGCATCCAGATCGTGCGATCACACTCGGGAAGAAGAAGGAGTTACAGTTCTATGCCTATGCTGACGCTTCACACGGAGACAATTTGAATTACAAATCAACTGAGGGCGCAGTCTGGTTCTTTGGAGGCAGTCCAATACAATGGTCAACCAGGAAACAGACTATTATGGCCCCGTCAACCACGGCCGCTGAATGGTGTGCACTTGATAAGCCTGCACGGGACGGCATGTGGCTTCTCAAACTTGCCATAGCCTTTGGCTTTCCCAGAGCAAACGATCCGTTGGTGATCTACACAGATAACATCAACACCCAGCTACTCTTGAACAAGAAGACTGGTCGCAACTCGACAAGATGGCTTAACATGCGATATTCCTTTGTGAAAGATGCTGCTGCCAAGGGCTACATTGACCTGGAAAGGGTCGAGAGCAAAGCCAACGTGGCAGATGGTTTCACGAAGCCACTCGGAGAAGAAACGTTCCCCGGATTAATCACACAGCTAGGGATGTGAGAACAGGGTGGAGCGAAAGGGAAGAAATGAAGTGGACAACATGATAGGATTTCCATTCTGAATGGAGCCCTCCTATTGGTTGAAAACGCACAAGATTTTAGAGTGCATTTGTTATTGAATTGAAAAGAAGATCACTTGTTTTGCCTGGTCAACTGTGGAGGATGAGGAGGCATGAGAGCCTATGAGGGGGATGTTGGGGATGTCAGGTGACATCCCACATTGGGATAGTCTCCCATGGAGTAGATAGATAGATATCTCTCGCTCTCTCTCTCTTTCTCCTTCTCTCCTCCGTCCGCAATACAATATTAATATCTTCATATTCCATTGCCCCTTGTATGATCTCCATGAAAAAATGTCGCTGCAAATATTGCGATAAAAAGAAGACATGGGTTTCAACTGCCCTCAATTAGGATGCGTGCCATTTAACGCTTCCTACTGTCACGAAGAATTCAGGATCAATGATCCTGAACCGATTCTGCTGTGTTCCACCGCCTTTTGTAGTTCGTGTTTTACATTGTTTGATTGGAGGCCTCAGGCATCACTACCTTAATTGTTTCAGCGTGTTGTTCTTTCTTTCTTTCTTTTTCTTTCTTTCTTTCCCCATGTTTAGTATTCTAGTTGAATGCACTCTTTTTCATCAAGACTTGGCTCGTAACACCTACCAAGCTTGTAAGTAACACAAGCCGAGAAGCCTATAAATACGTCCTCTACCCCCAGCAATTTGCTCTACAATTTGAGCAAGCTTTGTGCCCGAGGCATTTGGATAGGTTCTTCCCCTTTGACCCAGTACTAAATTCCGCTGTACTGACATTTACAGAATACATCATGGACCAGCAAGCCAGACGGTGCATATGAGAGATGTATTACAGTACCAGCTAGACTGCGGCATATCCTCTCCATTGGATATTAGGCTCAATACCATATCCGCAAATTGAGGATAATGGATATTACTTTCATACCATATCCTCAATGAGGATATCCATGGATATCCGCGAGGATATGAGGATATTCTGCGGATATCCGCACTAGCATAACTCTCGCTTGATTATCTACTTAGGGGTCGTCATGTGCCTCTTATACAGCTTATTAATTTATTTTTCAGAACAAAAGATACACAGGTTTGGTCCTGACCATACTACTACCCTTATTTATCCTATTTCCCAATGAAATATTAAGTAATACCTATGTATTAACCAATATTTATTAGCTTCATTATTACTTATAGCATCAATCTTTATTTTCAAAGTGTATTAGGGGGAAACCATGATTTTTTGTTATTTCACTTTACTTTACCATGGAAATATATATTTACTCATGGAAGAAGTATAGCATCTCTCAGCTGAACTAAGTATATTTGACCAAACTCGCCATTTCCCGGTCAAATTTAGTTAATTTAGCTTTAAATTAATGATCTAAGCCTAACTTTCAAGTATATAATGATTCTAAATAGATTCTCTCGAAGATTACCGGTCGGAAGCTCCAATGTTGTTGACAGCGGACTTGGTGAATATGGCGGCAAGGTTGAGGATATCCAAGGATATCCATGCGGATATCCACAATATATCCTCAATTATCCTCAAATATCCACACCAGTGATTAGTAATAGCCAATCATCGCCATCAAAAGTAAGAGATGTCAAGTACGCACCCGCAACTTACGAGTTACAGCATATTTGCCATAATTCTGATATTTTCAGCTCGTTCTATATGTAAGTTTCTCTCTCTCTCTGACATAGTGATCAAGTACACCATGTCTTACTCACAAGCATCTCAATCCCACTACTCCTTCTGCGCTGATTCAGATCTAGGTCTAAATACCGACCTTCTTTATTCAGATGATATCTCTGAGCTTATTAGCAGCCAAACTCCATTGACATCTACGTCTCAAATTTCATCTCCGATTGCACCCCTCTCGCTTACGCGTGTTGGCCTCCCTCTTCAGCAGTATTGGGTCCTCTATTCCTCTGAGCCTAGTAGCGAGATGGAAGAATCTCGTAAGCGCTTTATAAGTTGGTGGTTAACTACAGAGTCTGGATCAACACCTGATATACAAGACTCTATCCGTTGGGATGGGAAAAAGACTTCAAGTGTCTGGGACAATTTCAATCAGGTTGCACATGAGAAGACTGGCAAGCCAAAGGTTATGTGCATATCATGCCTCTGTACCCTTGTTCATCCAAGATATCGCCGTGCTGGGTCATCACCGATGAATGCACATATTAAGGCAGGCACCTGTACTCGGAAGCCAGTTACTCAGAGGGTTGATCAGCTACTAAGAAAGATGGTATATTACTCTATTATTAAGATTTTTAATATCTCTTTTGCTAATCTTGATAATTATCCTAAAGCCATCGATCCCAAAACACCAACCTTTCTCCCAGGAGCGTCTCGTTAAAGCGATCCTAGACTTTATCTCAGCGGCTCACCTACCCTTCCGAATCGTGGAGCATACCCAATTCAAGGACCTAGTAGAGGTCATTCAACAAGCTCAAAGCAAGATCGATATACCATCCGCGCGAAGCATACGACGTTATCTTGATTCTGCAGTCAAAAATGACCAGAAGGAGATTCTTGGAAGACTTCCAGATGGGAGTCGCCTTTCACTAGCGCTTGATTGCTGGACATCGCCATTTCAGCAAGCTTTCATGGCTATCACAGGCTACTTTCTTGATCAGGATTGGAATTATTGTGAAGTTCTTCTTGGATTTGAGCATCTTTATGGGTCTCATACTGGTGAAAATCTAAGTAAGACCGTTACTCAGCTCTTGAACAATCATGGAATCACCAATCGTGTCTTATCTGTGACAACAGATAACGCAACTAACAACAATACCTTGGTGATGAACATCCAAGAGACTATTCAGTCGCAGAGCCAACCAGATACCTTAATCTTCCGAGTTCCGTGTATTGCGCATGTGATCCAATTAAGCTTAAATGAGCTTCTTGGGAAGCTGAAAGTGACGCCACCTAATAAAGAGATTGAACTAGAGTGGCCTGACGAGCGAACACATTCATTCCAGACTAAACAATCTGGCTCAAGTCGGCAAATTGCAGATACCTTAAAGAAGGTCAGTCCTCTATCTCCCTTAGGCTTCTGAGTTTATTCTAATAAGAAAGTCTAAGATCCGAGGTCTTGCGGTCTTTATTAATGCGAGCCCACAACGCCGGGAGTCATTTATGGCTCTTCAAACTAATGAGCCTCGTTTGGTTCCTATTCAGGATGTCCAAACCCGATGGAACTCAACCTTCATAATGCTCAATCGTGCTAAAAGGTTACAACCATTCTATGACCAGTATTGTATAGATCATCAGTATCTACACTTTAAACTTGATCAAGAAGAGTGGCGACAGATTGAATATCTTCTTCTTCTCACAAAGCCTTTCTTTGACTTCACCACTATGTTATCAAAGACTAGGGATGTTACCACACACAACATCTATAGTATTTATAACAAGCTTTTCTCTCATCTAGATGAAGCTGAGTGTAAGTTGAAGAATAAAGGTGTTGTCTGGAAGAAGCATATGCTCCAGGCTCTTCAGACTGCTAAGCGGAAGCTCTCAAAGTACTACACTGCGACTGATTATGAATCATATGGCGATATCTATGCACTCGCGACAATCCTTTGCCCATCAAAGAAACTTCGATATTTCGCATCGTCAGACTGGCAAGGTGATATTGACTATATTAATCACTATCATGGAGTTCTCAAGCGAGAGTTTCAACGATATAAAGAGATACTTCACCGTGATTCAGATAATACAGTCTTACAAGATACCACGAGAGAGGCCCCGGATGATGAATATGGTGATCTAGATGCTGCTTGTGCATCTCAAAACCAGCCCCAGGATGAGCTCTCAAAGCCTGAAGATGATGAGATCGCGAGGTATCTTGCCCGCGGGATTGAGATTCAGAAGCCAAGAGCATTCTGGAAAGACCATGAGCTTGAGTTTCCTATCCTTGCGAGGATAGCACGGGATATTCTCTCGATCCCAGCTAGTGGTGCAGGCGTTGAGCGATTATTCAATTGCGCTCGCGATATCTGCCACTATCGTCGCGGTCAATTGAAACCAAGTACCATCCGAGGATTAATGCTCCATCAATTCGCCACTAATTTTGACGTTGAGCAGAAGGAGATAGAGGTTATTAAGGAGTATCTCTCTATTGGGGAAGCTGCGTTATTAGACCAAGCTCGGAAACCAATGCTCCATCTTGAAACTCTTGAGCCAATTAGTGACAACGAAGAGGAGGATCAAGAGCCTAGCATACAGGACACACAACAGAAGAGGAGCTGCAATGATGATTCAGATGATGAGAGGAATAATGATCAAAGTAAGCAAGTGCAGCGTAAGCGATCAAAGAAACGATTATCTGAATCTCTTGATGAAGATGACGATGACCTTCCAGAAATGCCAATAGATGAGAGCATGCTGGGACGGTCAGGACGAATTCGAAAGCAGCCTAGGTTACCTGATGGATTTCAGATTGATTTAAGGTAGTTGATATTATATGGAGATAACGGAATTTTATTTACTAAATTGAAATCTTGAAAGTTAATGATTACACTATGATTACATTAAAAATACGTAGGAAACTGCATAAATTATACATACTTAAAAGAGTCGTGAGGCTAGGCATGTTTGGCCTGTTTGATATCCACTGGATATCCTCAAATATCCAGAGGATATTAGGTGGTATACCATATCCACAAAATTGAGGATTGCGGATATTGGGTGATATACTATATCCGCAATCTGCGGAGAGGATATGTGGATATCCATGGATATTGAGGATGTTGCCGCAGTCTAGTACCAGCAGGTTTACTGTGCCACTCTGCCAGCCAATGAAAAAGATAAGACTTGGATTGGATAGGCAAAGCTTACTTTCTTTGCGAACGTCTCTCTTCACCGTAGCAGCCGATGAAGCTGATCCACTGCCTGGCTCCTAGATGGATCTTCGATGCAAAAGAGCGACTTTTCGTGCAAGTATATGAACCTCAGCCCGATCCTGTCTGAAAGCGGACTGACATCAAAGACGATGCGAATCAACCAGGGCCGTGCATTCCGACCAATATACACCAACCCAAAACAACGGAGCTCTTTTCTGTCTCTTCGCCCATGGTGCAAAATACCGGAACATGTGAGTCCTGAAATGTCTCTCCATCTAGTGGCTAATGATTGACAGTGAACCTTTGAGAGCTCACCAGTGTGGCCCTAAGGATCCAGTACTACCGTCAGTGCTCCACGCAAGCCATGGCTTATCCAATATTCCTGGCCACATCGCTTCAAACCACGCAGCATATCCTACGTAAAAACAAATAAACCAGAGATGCGAGCCGATAACCGGTGCGGACATTCGATTGCTAGCTTTCCTGCATGGAAGCTTAAGAAGTCCATTCTTCCTGATAATATGAGAGATTTATCGCGCCCTCTGCTACGCTATATCATTTAATTATGCAAAATCCTGCGCTCCAAAATACGAACACCATTACTGATTTTCATGCCATTGTACATAGGAGCAGCCCATCACCACCTGTGAAACAGCCTTGTGGGGAGTCCTTTTATCGCCAGAACAGAGGTAAGACCAAGGCGTCACTACGGCGCGTGCTCCATCGCGTCTTCCGCCCTCGGCCTCACCTTCTTCACAACACGAACGGCGGAGTGTATGAACCTCTTGCTGTCCCTATCGCGAGGTCTTATCCCGTTACGGATTAGTTGGCAATCGAAGCGCCAAAGCGTCGTTGCCCTCTCGACCTGTGAAGCTGAATTCCTAGGCCAGACACAAGCAACCAACGAAGCAATCTGGTTGAGAAGACTAATCAATGAGTTAAACATGAGCCAAGGAAAAACTGCAACGATCATTTGTGGTGACAACCAAGGAGCCATCGCCCTGTCCTCGAACCCACAATATCATTCCCGCACGAAGCATATGAAAATCCGACGCAAGTGGCAAGGAGAGGTCCAAGACCTTGGAACAGTGGAGCTGAAATACATTCCAACTACCGAGCAAATTGCTGATGCGTTCACGAAACCTCTTGCGCGAGAACGATTTGAATGGTTTCGGAGAGGGCTTGGCATTGAGTGATACCGCCCGGCTTATGGATCTCGGGCAGAAACTAAGTCGCACGGGTACCATTTCCTTCTTTTCCTTTAAAAGGGGTTTTTTTGAAGTTTTTAATGGGGCCCTTCACAGCCGTGATGGATGGTCACTGGCACCCTTGGTGGTGGTTGCCATCGAGTGGGAGTGTTGAGTATCACGGTGGCTGTATTGAGCATCATGGTGGCTGAACCTGATAGCAAGGGTTAGGAACAGAGATATATATGGAGCATCCCGCCCAGGTAAAAGATTACTCCTTAAGTCAATGAGATTGTAACGGAGTGGATCCTGACTCTTCAAAAGTCCTGTCATAGAGACGGGTTATCGCCAGCGTGTCACTGTCGATCACAGAGCGTACCCTGACCGCCACTCTACCCCGCTCCTATCAATGATAAATAGTCCATTCTTGGGAACCTGGAAGTTCCCCAAGAATCAGTCTCTGTACTATTCACATAATACATCTGTTCCGGAGCCATCTTCGTCTTACCTAGTTGACAGGCCCTATCCTGTAAACACTAGAACCCCCCTATACTTTACAGAGATTCAATCAGACAATCACATATCTCAACATATTCATATTCATATTATTCAATTCATATCATTCATGTTCGCAAATATTCATGAATAATCATATTCCTTTCGGATCCCTATCCAAATCAATTATTTTCGCCTCTCACTCCTGCCTTTCCCTTTCATCGTTTCAGGGCCGATGCGCGCGACGCGCGCGTCTTCCAGTATAGATACAGGTCTAACCCTAATGCATGAGTAGTGCGTATCAGGATGACAGAACAATACCATCAAAACAGGTGCTCCAACAGAAAGATGCATATGCACGGCACTAGGACGAATCAGGACTAGCGTACAAACAAGGTCATCAACATTATTATCCTCTCATTGCTGCTACTCTCTCCATCCATGTCGACTCAAGTCCGAACAAAACGCCAGCAGAATAACAAAAAGAGAAAGTGAAACCGGTGACCATATGCTGAACTTGCTCGCAAACACCACTCCTCCATACATGCTAAGACCACCCATTTCCAACGGGATTAATCTTTCATTTGCTGCGCCAATGCCTGGGATCGATAAAATTGCCATAACACTAGAAGCCAGCCCGCAAATTGCGTCGCCGTAAGGCTGACCAGTACACAAGCGCACAAAGCCGAGAAGATGAAGCGCACCGAAGAAGAGCCCAATTCCAATAAAAGAGAGTTGGCCCGTGCGCACGTACATGACTATGCCTCCGATCGAAGTCAATAGTGAGATGGCCAGAGCCGTGTTTGTTGAAAACTGTGGATTGAAAGGTTGGGCGAATCCTGTGCGGATGTATGCGGCTAGGCTTGTCAAAAGCCATGTAGGAATGGCTACGGCATAGATATTCTGCTGTGGCTATCGATTCAAAAGATTAGCCTGCACATGCCGACAGGTTGATGTTTGATGGACTGTACCATTGTGTGGAATGTTCAGATTGAATAATATAGTACGGTTCCTCTAGAGTATAATTCGACTTAGGGCAGTATTATACCCAGATATGAACACTTTTTTGACGGCGACGCGTAATCGTTTGAATCCTTCCTACTAGCTTTTGAGGCCTCGATACTCGCTAAGGCCGTGGTGGGGGCGGCTAAGTGGGTCCTTCCCGAAGAAGTAAAGCTTGAATAATAGCCAAGCTTTAGTTCAAGTGCCGGGAATCAGCCCAGCAAGGTTAGAGCCGCGCCACGAAGGTTCGGGCCCAGTTCAGGTTCCACATTTTTACCTGCGTCGGACCATTTCGAGTCCCAAGGTTTTGGGCCATCAAGGGGGGCTAAATCTAAGACAATGTGAGTGTATACTCGAGTTTTTTCCTATCAAAATACTCCGCTTTTCACTACTTGATTAGTGTCGGCAGAGATTGCTAATACTTATATCTACCACGATTATTAGTTTGCTTCTACTACTGGTCTTTTCTGGCACTTCAAGTTTGCAGTGTATGAGCCGCGTGTCCGAAGGAAGCTACCTGCGAACTACGATCCTCCCAAATAATTACACGTAAAGCAAGCGATAGGGAATATGTTTTTATTTTCCATTTTCGCTGGTTAAAAGCCTGCTAAAATCTTCTCTGGCTTGGTGCAGCCCAACAAGAATTTCTTTTCTTCTTTCCAGTCGAGTTTACCTGGATGGTATCTCATTGTCTCTAAATCAATGTAAGCACGCGAGGCTTCCAACCTACCAAATCCTATTGAAATGTAAAGTATAGGGGGGTTCTAGTGTTTACAGGATAGGGCCTGTCAACTAGGTAAGACGAAGATGGCTCCGGAACAGATGTATTATGTGAATAGTACAGAGACTGATTCTTGGGGAACTTCCAGGTTCCCAAGAATGGACTATTTATCATTGATAGGAGCGGGGTAGAGTGGCGGTCAGAGTACGCTCTGTGATCGACAGTGACACGCTGGCGATAACCCGTCTCTATGACAGGACTCTGAAGATTCAGGATCCACTCCGTTACATGAAATCAAAGTTTGCTTACATGTTTGCATTTCAACAGAGAGACTCACTATCATCGAAACAATGGCTGTCCTCGAGACCACAATCGACTTCGTCAAGCTCGCTTTGACGGGCCTCTGGTGCGCATGTGCTGCTGTGGTGGCCACCTCGGGGTGGACGGCTCCAGGATGCTTGGTCACATATTTCGGAAGCGCAGTCACCATCATGCTGAGCCTCAGTGTTGAAGTCTATCATTACAAAAAACAAAAGTTACTCCCAGTCAGTGCTCGTGGCCTTGTGGAGTGGCCGGAATCCTATAACCATTCCTATCTGGTTGGGTTCCCACAGGGCGACACTGCTTATTGCACCGAGTACAATCTATCTGAAACTGTGCCGCATGATGTCTGGGTCAACGTCACCTACCTCAACACTGGTGTCTCCACTGCTGTGCGCCACAATGATACAAGCATTGAGATGGACATGGCAATCGATGACAAGACACCTGTTTCTTTGGCTGCCAACGTGAAACGCACTACCCATGAAACATTGTCGCGCCTGCGGGTGATAGCAGAGAAGATGGAAAAAGTCACATATTCCGGTCCCTCTGCTTATAAGCATACCTCTGCTGTCAAGGATGCTGATAAGATGTGGAGACTGGGAAGGTATTGCCCGCACATTTATGACTGTAGTGATGAAGAATGCTCGGAATTGATCTCAGCGGGTTTGACGCTAAACAGCAACAAGAGAACTTATGCCAGACAGAGTGTTTCGGAATGCGAAGCCTGATAGTCACGCGTTGCAGCGTGATGCACATGGATGATGTTGAGGAAGACTGGACATTCTGCTAGGGGTGGTATACGCGAGGATCTTGAGGACCACACAGAAAATGGTCATAAAATCTACTGATACGTGCGTTTAGTTCAAGCATCAGCATGATTGTATAAATATACAATTACTACGTCCTAAATGTGAAGCTGGTTGTCGCGCGTGTGCTCGGGATTGGGCAGAGTGCCCTATAGATGTTATGATTCCTAGCATGGGTATCTTGAAATTATTGAATTGAGGTTCCTGGCAAAGGCGAGATGACGAGGGAAAAGAGAAGCTTAAATAGAACCCGTGGCCTTGGCCAAGCATCAGTTTCCTCCTACGTACCGACGCAGCAACCGGCTAGTGATCCTGAGAGTACTGTCTGGGCTTATAGGATTGCTGGCCGGTTCCATAGAGACCAAAAGGATAAATGGTCTTTATGGGGCTGCTTGGATTAAGATATCACGGCATTTGTGCAATTGCAAGGAAACCATGACTTGATTCGGTTAGAACAGAAGAATAGCCCCAGATTTTGTGCTCTCTGTACCAGGCTATGAATTCATAGACTCAATCGAGAGCTCATTCAAAGAATACCACAAGTTGAGCTTTGAACCATCTGTCGACCCATAGCTGACCTACCTTGCTTGGAGTATGGGTTCTTCCGGTACAGATGTAGATGGCTTCCGTAACAAGAATTTAGGGCGATCGAACATATTGATAATCTTTTTGGCCTTTCCAATAACAAAAAAACTGTTTCTTAAAAAAGTTAGATCCCAAGAACAAAAGTGACAAAAATGATGTAAATAGCTGTGAAAGTGATCAACCACCATTTTTTGGAGATACAACAACATCGAGGGAGTCCTCAAGGTTGTGAGATGTCCTGTTGCGGGTGCTCTCGAAAGAGGCCCGCGTGTAAATTCCTCATTATTGTCTCTCTAATCTTGGAGAAATTTATCGGAGTCTCATGCGGTCTGCGGAACACTACGTACAGTACGAACCGTATATATAAAGAACCATGGAACCGAGATGAGTATCCTCGTAGCAAGATCAGGACACAGTAGCCAGAGGGCAGCCTGGAGATTTCTGAAGTCTCTGGAATCTTATCATCTGAGGGAATATGCCTGGTTGAATTCGGAGGTCTGATTGTGTTTGATTGGATGGATGGTCGAAAGAAGAGCGATCTGTAGAGTAGAAGCTGAGGCATACGACGTATTTTCGAGCCACACCCCAGTCATGTTTGACGAGAAATAAAGGTTTTCCGAGTCAGCCCAAGACTGGCAGACTCAAGCCACAGGAAAAAGTTAAATTAACAGCGTGGAATTGTGAGCGGGACCGTCGATCAGTAGCCGAATCCCGAATCAATTCGACAACTGAGTTTTGAAAACCATGGAAAGGCTTGCTCGGTGCGAGAATGCGGTTTTCAGAAGGATTCAAGCTTGAAATTAATCGAAAGCTTATCTATAGGCTTCTTATTCACTTGCTTGTTGTTCTCGTGATTAGATCTCAGAGTCCGAGAACTCGGATGGAAAATCGGGTACTGTCTCCAAGATCTCGCGCTGACGAAGTATAGTATATTGTAGAAGGAAACAACTTTATTCGTAAATATTCTCGGTCGCCAGAGTAATGGTAAACATGCGCTGGGTGCTTGAAATAAACTTTGTGGGTCGGCCGGGACCAATCGGTTTCTCGGCCTCCAGTGCACAAACCGGAGACTTTGTTTAGATCTACCATCTTGTCCTTGCATAATTAGCATAGTTCCTACAAGCTATCTGCTAGAGATATCAGACTGGTGATCGAACTTGGCAGATGGAGTGGATGGGTCGGGCTCAAAGAAAGTATACTTTCTGCGAGGAAGGTGCAGGACAGAACGTATAGCTTCTAGAACGTTCCATAGGCCAGATAGAGAAAGCAGCAGCTTCGCACTCGACGAAGGACTAATCACTCTCTTGCGAGGGCAACTGAACCGCGGATCAGATCTCTGTTGCCAAAACTCTGTGTGATATTCCAAATACTTTCCTGCCCCAGCAATACCTCCTAAGCAACAAGTCCTGTTCCATCAGGCACTGACGGCCGTCAGGTTTGGGTTTGTGGATCGTGTCTGGACCCTTGCAGATCCTTCCGGTTTCTTCTGCGGGCCACAAATAGAACCTCCGTGATCTACTGTCCCGTGGGTCGTCCCTGGGATCTGCATCGCAGTACCGTACCTGCGTCGGTTCACGTTCATGCGGGGTGTTTGATTGGTGCAACCGGCGCTTCTTGGGTCCAGGGTTTCATCAGTGTGATACTAGCGTTGCAGTCCCGCGAGGTGGGCGGCCATCGACGAGGAACCATCACATGAACCATGGCAGCTGAAATGACTAACTTAGTTGTCCTGGAAACTGGACTCGGGTTTCTATTCTGGGCTTTCCAACAAGGTCTAGACTTTGAATCTCCGTCAAGGAAAATAACCAATACCCTGGATTTGGGAGTATGTTCATAGTTTCCGTACCGACAGGTAGCAGAAGTATTAGTAGAGGCAACATCAGTTGGTTGCCAGTAACACAGAAAAGTACCGTTAGCGCGAGACTAGGCAAAGAGGATTGTAGAGGGATCAATGGGAGGCACGTCTTATGGCCAAGTACGGGTACAGTCAAATGTGACTGTCTGCCACAAAGTTTCCAACCCATTATTGCGGCATCGGTTGAAGGACTTCAGCCCTCATGAAAGAGACGGTGACCGTGGCTAGTGACCATAGTCAAAACGGGCAGAGTAGTCTGCCACCGCGTTGGGCGATTTAATTGCAAATCCAATGATATGTGAGAATCGTATTCTTGCGGTATCAGTGTCTTTTCAACAGTTGATGAAAGTGGTGCACCACACTCAACACAGGTTTTGAAAGCAATGAATCCAGGTTGAAAGTTGAGTCTGTAGGCCACAACGTCTCCAAACATCAGTTCAACGTCGTTCCGATGGCTTTAACGCCTACCAACGAAATATTTTTTCTCGCTACCATCTGCGTAACTGGTTCCTTGGTAGAGACGTAGCCAAAAATTTATAAAAGGGGCCGGATTCTCAACCCAAAACTAAATCAGGACTTCGGTCCTCACACTCCGATGTGTGATGGTGTCCCTCTTTTGCCTGCGGGCTTCAGAGCTTCCGTAACTGCAACTGTCGCTGCCACGAGCCCAGCGATGTAAGACTCGCGCTCCCTCACAGCCAATGAGCCCTGTGTCTGTATAAATGCAAGACTTGGCTCGCCAAGGACTTGTTGTGGTTCCCCAGCGTTGGGCAGGCACCTCTCCGTGGTGCTGGGGACAAGTATTCGAGTATTCCAAGAGTATTTGAAGAAGCAAAGACCAGCGTAACATCTTGATCTTCTTCATATTTCCAAGGATCATCATTGGAAATATAGATTCAGCCCTAGATAGATGCAAACCAATCACCAGACTCTTACATTCACGACTGAATTCTCTTCACTATCGAGCGCCGTATTCCCAGCCCTCCTGCCTTGATAATTTGTGGTCCGATAATACTTCTGCCGCAACAGAATGCATCTGTCATCAGGGCGTAGAGCGAAGAAAAGCTATATCATGTGGCCTAAGTCTGATTCATATGTACTAATACCTAACTAAAGTACCCAGTGAAGCATCTTTCAAGCCAATACTCTCGTAGGGCAATGATAAGATGTCTTCGGAAGATCTCGAATCTTAAGCGAAAAACCAATATTTGTAATTTGGAGGTCGTATGCACAGATCGCAGACGATCATGTTGCTACGGCTTTTCAAAAATTGTTATCCAGCCACAAAGCACAGTTTTCACTCCTTCTCGACTGTGGGTCAAGGTGTTTTACAAGTAAGAGTGACTCTTCCACAGAATGAATAGTGAGTTCTTATAATAATGAGGTTGTGCAAACCAAGGGAAGACCCCACTAGTATCAACTTGATGAAGCCTAATCTAATATCAATAGATAAATGGCGTCATAAAGGGGCCCTTTTAGGCCTAGTTATGAAACAACTGAAAAGTACGTCTGATTCACCAGACATAGCGAGGAAATATCCGTGGGTTGAACAGTGCAGTGAGTAGACCTCATCGACGACAAGAAGGGGTTCAATTTTCGCCATCAACAGGCAGGCCTGGAATACGACCATTGCGGAAAAGATCCACAAATATATGATGGTCTCGCCGTGTCTGGGCGCTGTACTCATGCGCAAATCCTACAAGGACATCCACAAAGCGGACCTCATCGGCCATTATAGCTTCATCAATGGCTTTCTCAGGAGAAAATGGCACCAGTTTTGAGTATCTGGCATTATCGTCTCCAGCCCCGTGCATCATGGCAGTGGCAGTACCAAGGTCAGCAACCACTGCCGCCATCTCCTCCAGATCGTTGATATCGGACCAGTCTAGGTCCACCGCGTAAGGTGAAACCTCTGCCACCAGCTGACCTACACCATCTATCTCAGTCCAACCGAGCCATGCGTCCGCTTGCGCCTGCAGAGCGCGCTGCGAGATGACAGTACGGTGACCCTCGTGGTGGAAGTAGGCGTTGGGCGCGTTATCGACGTGCTGGGAGACGGCTGCAGCCGCGGACTGCTTCATGTAGATCACCACGTCATTCTCCAGCGCCTCGCTCTTGCCTTCCAGTAGGAAATTGAATGATGGGAGACCTGCAGAGCCAATACCCACACCTCGACGCCCCACTACATCCTTGATGCGGTACATGCTGGCGCAGTCATCCCTTGACTTAGGAAGTGTCTCGAGATAGCGGTTGAATGCATCCTCGACTTTCTCTCGTGTGGCAGAGCTCAGCTCAATTGAGCCACCGCCTAAGGTAAAGCGTCGCTCGGAATCATGGACTTCCGTCATCGAGCAGAGCAAATCGACACGTGTTTGTGTACGGGCTGAACGTAAGGCATCAAGCAACGGACCCTTGGCGGTATCTAGGGTAAAGTGTGGCACCTCATGTTGGTTTGTGCAAGTGGCTAAAGTATGAACACGCTCGCGGTACGCTGCGGTGTACACCTTCACGAGTCGGGTGATCTGTTGGTCACTGAGAGCTTTCGTGTAACCGATTAGGGCGATTGAGGCTACAAAGCGCTTGATGTCCCAGATAAAGGGGCCAACATAGGCCTCGTCAAAATCGTTCACGTTGAAGATTAGACGACCCTGAGAATCCATGTAGGTGCCAAAGTTCTCTGCGTGCAAATCACCATGGATCCAGATTCGCTTTGTTTTATTATCTAAGAAGGGGCCGACATGCTGCTCCTGCTCGATGTCATGGTAGAAGAGACAAGCGCTACCCCGATAGAAGGCAAACGCCGAGGCGGCCATCTTGCGGAATTTGACCTGGAATGCAGCAGGGTCCCTGGCGAGAAGGTCTCCAAACGTCTTGTTAAAAACATTGAGGATTTCCCCGCCACGCTGCTCGATGCTTGGTTGATTGATGGCCATTTTTAAGATATTACTTTTGAAAGAAGGGTTCTTTAGGTATTACACAAAAAAGACGAAAGGTCATTGAGGAAGATATGGACCTTGGAGAGAGGAGGCTTTATACAACATCGGATAAGTGGGACAAACGGCGCTCTAGGGCAGTGCAGACTTGCGTCATGTTGCCAATCTCTTGGCTAAACACGAACCTTTAAGGGCTTTGAGGGTGTCAGGCATAGCTTACTACCTCATTGGTCTATTACAGACTTCGTGGCCCAACGCGCTCAACACACTACAGCAATAATATTTATCTGCAGGTCTCAATTCGAGGTTTCTATCTCTTCTGTCGCCAAGGAGGTGCTTGCGTTTTTGGTTACATGATGCATTACATTATTTTTCTCACCGCCATGTACCGCTAAATGCCTCACTTAAACTCAAGACTCTAGATCCTATTCTTATGGTTAGTGAGGTCATTCGTGGCCTTTAGATCTCCACGTAGATCTTTTCAATGTTCCACAACTCAACCTTTTGTCACTGTAGATCATTATCGGTGAAGTTTTGATATGAATTTGCGTGCAATATTTAATTACTATAAGATATGTCATGTGGCTACTACCAGCTGGGGCCTCAATACAACAACCACCAACTTATACAAAGACAATATTGAATAATTGACTATTACTACGTATAAATCGAAGTTCAAGGGGTACTTAGTTTCCACTACATTGATTGACTGAGCCTTTACATTCAGTAACCAGTACAGGAAAACCCACACCAACGCATTTGAAAGCAAGCGTTTAAAAGCCCATATATTTTGTGAAATACCCTAGAAAAATCCAAACGTAATATGGCTTGATAAAAAATGCCCCTGTCTATTACTTTGACTCCTCTCTGACACTGGTGTACTTGTGAAAAGCATATTCGATATGGGTGATGTTTGGGACATCAACCATTACTATAGCCGGGCGCGACAGCTTGACCTCTTTGTCGCTGAAAATATCCACCCCAGTAAGAGACATGGTTCCAGTATCTTCCTCTTGTGTTATATGGGTGGTTTAAAAACGTAGTTTTCCAACAGGAAATGCCCGTTATCACCAAGCGAGGAGATTGCCATAGGGGCAATGCGGTTAGAATCCATACTGATAGATTCTGTTTAGTCTGAGCTGGGATAGGGTGAAGAAAATTGAAAAAGCTCAAGATTGTTAGGATTGCAAATTAATGCGAAAGAAAAACAAATCGCTAGATAGGTTCATTAGGCTTTAGCCTAGGTCAGATCTGTTGCCAGGGCTCATCAATCTTTCTTTTTCAGCTGACGCACCTAAGTGGATCTCACTGCATAAGTGCAGAAGGATACGAGATTTGTGTTACCGTAGATCTTTGAGAGCAATCACATTTAATAAACGCATTCCCTCTTTCACTGGTGGGTGTTCAACTAGTAAACTGCCATTTAGTGATATTTTTCATTAGTTAGTTGACTTAATCAATTAATCGAATTTTTAGCATCAGCATTCGTTCACCGCGTGTACCCTATTTGTGGGATGAAAATGGCATTCGATCAAGGAAGACCATGAAGTCTCATATCCTGCAGGCTCAACCGCACCTGAGGGAATCTGCCGAGGATATTCGGAGTCGGTGGCGAGACATGGAGGTGATGTCGGTATTCCAGAGAACTCATGCCAGATGGCGTGAAGGTCCAGATCCGAGTCACAGTCTACTGATGTTAGCATAAAACAATCATTGAATCGACGGAGACAGACATTTTGCTTCGATTCGTTTGTTTCGGTCCAAGACTCGCCGTGGAAGCCTGAAGGGAGAATACAGAAGTTTACAAGCTGGCGATCTAACGGGGGTGGGGAAGGACAGAATGCCACATGATGAGCAAACTTTTTTATATACTTGATAACGCAAGTTCATGGCAAATTAGGAGGAGTTATGGCTCGAAAGTAAATGCCCTAAACTAAGCGTTGGGTGTATGAACAGCCGTGAAACGTTGACACTCTGTCACCAAACCCAGCGAACCTTCACCAGCTGCTGCATGTGCCTCATCTAGGATCAGTGTTGGTATTTAGTGGAGAACAGGATTAGATAGCAGAACTACCCGAATGTAGTTCTTGCCCACGAGCGCTCCAAAATTCTGAGACCTCATCAACGTCCATCAAAATGGCAGGCTTAAGGATCTCTCACTTGCAACGCTAAAATCACGCGATTGCAAAAGGCCTCAATCGCCCATTTGGTATCCAACGGTGCTAAAGTCTGCTCATTGCAGAGCTGTAGAACGATATTGCTATCGCTCGATAGCCACTCATTTAACCATTGAAGCTGTCACTACTCTTCCCCGAGTCGTATCTTCTCGGCAGACTTGACGACGTGGAATTTCCACAGGCAAAAGTACAAATCGAGCAGTTTGAGAGCTGGTGTAGCGAGGGTGTCATTGTAGTGTAGAAGTTTCATGAAATCTGCCGCAAGGGATGTGGGTGTCACTGGGATCTGCAAAGTATTAGTGTTTTTGTTCGTTTGCTATCGAAGGGGGTATGACCGACGTCGGGTTCGATGGCTGTGGCATTTGAAGATTGCTGTGGAGGGTTTTGCAACTTGAGCCCATCTTCTAGATCTTGTGATTCTCGGCACTATCTCTTATTTAGCTAATCAATCGGGAAAGCTAAAGTGGAATCGTCCATCGTGGTTGTAGAAATGAATTGGAGGAGAAACTCTGGTCGAGAGCCTTTTTTAGACCGGCAAAGTCAAGTCAAACCAAGGCTGCTGCGAGTGCACTCATAGCATCCACATTCTGGTTTCCGACCGCGTTTAATAGTTCAGCAAGTAAATACCTCGACCGTTGATGCTCGATTTCACAGATTGTTCGCCGAAACAATCTGTGGTACGCGGACCTGGGCAACAGTTGAAGCCTTACAACACACATTGTAGAAGCTATCACCTAATGGTGGTCTGCAAGTTTACTCCTCATGTTTTTGGTGCTATAAATCAATTCAAATTGTTAAAGTTTTACCGTGACATTTGTGGGTTGTCGGAGAGGGGCATGTATGGAATTGAAAAGTAGTATTGATGTCGAGCACAGCTAACCTTGCATATCACGGGAGCTACCTGAAATGAATCCTGCCACATCTTAGAGACCACCAATCCTTCCTCTCGGCGACGATACCAAAGAGGGTTAATGAGAGCTGTGGTCTTCTATCATCCTCTGAATGGCCCTCTGGATGCAGCGATTCCGTACAGAATATAGCGATCTCTTCAAATTGCCCACATTCCGTCTGCCATCCACCACGAACCCGTTCGCGATGGGGAAATTTCCACCCTTGGCTACCAATATCAAAAAATCCTCGAGCCACCGGTTTCTGTGATTGGCATCAATATGGTCATGGCGAAGCAGAGCCTGGGCCATCTCCAAATCGGTATCATGTATGACGGTGTATAGCACCGCGGCGCGACTTGCAATCATATTTTTATTGATTTCAGGTGTTCAGCTTGCTGCATCGAGAGTCTGAATTGCTTAGAGGAAGAATTGGCTACGGGTGCGGCGATGGCAAAGGCAGTTAGAATAAAAACGAACACGAAGAATTTCATCTTAGGAGTTTGGGGTGAATATTCTGTTCTTGGGGTTACTATTGAAATTTTAAAGGTGAAATGGAGAACTGAGCTGTGAAGTAGAGAGTCTCCTAAGTTTGAATTTTCTAGAGCCAGCCAAAAGCACGGAGTAATATATAAGTGCACATGTGGTATGTATAGGTTCTGAGAACTAACAAATCGATGATTAAAACCTCAAAAGCATTGCAAGAAATCGGCGAACACCCAAATCTAACCCCGTTCCCAATCCTCTCTGCTCTATTCCCTTACACAGTACCATTTTTAAGCAGCATGACTCGTCGTCATTTCCATACTCCCGTCGTGCTGTGCCATTGAAATTTGAGACAATCCAGCTGCAACAAAATGAACCAAGATCAAGATGAATACTACAGATCCAAAAGTGGCCTGAATAACAGCTCCATAGTACAGTCGTTTTCGAAATCAGTTATACCTCCACACTCTTGCGACTTCATTTCCGGAAAACAGATCCGAAATACGCTAACCTCCTTTAGCTTAACGCTCTATAAGTGTGGCAAAACAGTGATGGTAATGGCCTTACAGGGCAGATGAGTCATAGTAACAATACCGTAAGCTTCTATGGAACCGTGTAGAATCTTTGGGGAGCTGTGGCGATCTGGCATGATCGACCAGCTTACTCACTGCCCTCTGCCTGTCCCACTCGTCCTCCCGTATCCAACGCAGCCTCCATTTACACCCGTCAGTCATAACTCGGAAGGCTGCGCTTATGCTGTAGAGAGCTAACCCTGGTATGCAAAGATGCGGATCTCTATTTGCATCGTTTGTATCACCTATTGCGAGTTTCATTCGCTACCAACCCGCCGCCGAAACGTGGTTCTAATGATAAGCTAACGTGGTTCGTCTAAGGATTGCGAATGCTTGCTAGAGATGACACAGAGCCCGTATCATATCGACAATACATCCTACTCTACGGACCCTGAACTATGGGAATACGCTCTAATACCGGGGTACTTCGCCAGCCCGTACGCCGCACGATCTATCTTAAGCCTCTCTCCGTCTAGCGTCCTTGAGACTGGAATCGAGTGAACAAGTAGGCCGGGCCCAAGTCTCTCATTCATTCAGCTATCTGAGTGGGAAGAGGGAAGAGCCTACCAGGAGGACCCGCCAAACTGTTAGACCCCGTTACGAGGGTCTTGGGACTCTGGATGGATTCGGGAAATAAGCGGAGAAAGCAGTAGTACAATTTGATGCTGAACTAATCGCTGGAGTCCGAGACTCCAGCTCTTGGATATCTTTATACTACTGTGGGATCATGTGGCGATGCTTAGCGAGCCTGGGCGATGTGATACATCAAATGTAGATCGCAACCCCGCGCAGGGTTGCGTGGCCCAGCCTCGCAGTCATCTTGACCTGCGAGGCACATGTATCAGACCTGCTCAGTACTGTGGTCCTGACACAAACTGTATCCACTACTGTATCGAGTGGGGAGTGACTATCAATAATCAGGAGGTGTCTCAGGACACAGAAGAAGACCTTAATTTGGCCCCTAGCTCCTTCTGGCAATTATCCTTGGAGAAAAAGCTCGAGAAAGTTCTTCGACGGAAGACTGTTAGCCACCGACGGGTGACAGATGATGATACTGTCATACCTGTATTGACAAGTGATCGTACCAAACGCAAACTGACGAAACGATTTGGCGATAACGACATTATTTGGACCGCTATCGAGAAACAGCTTGTGATGTTGATGTTTTGTTTCGAGGTAAGGAGCTCACGCTGAAGATCAGTTTTAAGTACGTAGACGATCGCCACTCTTCTCTAACCGCTGGCCGGAAAGGGGAGAAAAGAGGAAAGTCACCCGTTACAAAAAGGATGCTAAGCGAACGAGATGCACAACTTGATGCAGATGAAAACGCTTCTGGCGAGAAGCCAATTTGCGTAGCGTCTACAATTTACTGCGATGCTACTCGGCGTCATGCCAGCATGGCCCTCATTGTTGGGTGGCTATCCAATTACGCAACAACTCAATGGTCGTCACCGCCACTGCACATTCTGTGGGGAAAATTACATAGTTCATTGCTGTCGTTATTCAACACACCTAATTCAACTATAAATGCTAATGATCGCTTTCAACGTCGTGATTCGACTGCACAATCTATTGATTCGAACATGTCAGGCCGTCGAGGTAACTATGCACCAAGACTAGTCCACAAGCACAACCATTTTACCCTGAGCTTCATTATTCTCCATCAAACGATGAGCTTCGCCAATCTCCTCGAACCTGAAAACTTTCCAAGGCTTGGCGTCCAATTTACCCTCTGCAATCATCGCGACGACGTCTTGGAGGGGCACGTCTGACAGGGGAAATTCAGGTGTGCCGAAAGCAAAACTTCCAAAGAAGCTAAAATGAACGCCACTTGCCATCTGCAGAAGTGGATTGAAATCTGAGACAGGTGCTAGGCCACCTAGGAACCCTGCCAGACAGACTCGACCACTACGGTGCACCATTTTCAGAGAGTCAAGGATGGTGCTGTTGCCCACAAGCTCGAGAATTGAATCGAACTTTTCGGGAAGGCGTCTAGACAAGTTCAGTCCTTCTTTCACCACTTTCTCCACCCCCAGGGCTGTCAGTTGAGCAGCCCGGGCTTCATTGCGAGTCGTCGCAGTAACATGAGCTCCAGCGAGGACGGCGAGATTGATAGCTGCTCTGCCGAACGCCGAGGTCCCGCCTCGGATTAAGAGCTTTTGCCCGTTCGAAAGCTCAAGGTTGCGGAAGAGGCACGTCCATGCCGTCGCATATGATTCGGGAATGGCAGCAAGCTGGTCCCAAGAAAGTTTGGAAGCTGTAGGGCCCAGTGCGACGACATTTGAGACTTCAGCCCTAGTGAACTCGGCATAGCTACCGTTGACAGTACGTCCAAGGCCGCCCATGAGACTCGCCACCAGAGTGCCCTCTGCAAACTCGCCTCCAGGGCATGCCGCTACGGTGCCAACGCACTCAATGCCACTGATGGGCATCCATTCCGCCCACTCGCCTTTTCGCATGTGCATCTCAGCATGGTTGACTCCGAATGCTTTCACACGGATCACCACGTAGCCGTTGGCCGGTTCGGGCTTGGGGAGGTCCTTAATAACAAGAGACTCGGGTCCCCCAAACTTTTCAATCACAATGGCCTTCATTTTGAATGTTGCACGTCAATGGAGAGAAAAAAATCAAGTCTGGAATTTGATTGAAGAAACGATGCGGACGTCTTCTTTCTGGGAAGATATAAACACTGGAAATACATCGCCGACTTGCCTCGTATTTATATCGCGGGAGGAGGTGTTATGCTTTAGATTGTTTTACTTGGCTTCAACAATTTACATTCTTCCATGAATTTGATTTCAAATCGAATTGTGCCGCTCTAACCGATTCTTTCTGAGTCCGACCGCTGCTAGAAGGTGATTAGAAATCCTCTTTTCCGTCAAATCCGTCAGAAGCTTTGAATACGTCTGAGAAGGATCACGACCGAGGGTACAATGCACGGTCGGGTTAGTGCGCGGCTTAGCGCGCGGCTTAGCGTGTAGATTAATTTGCGGACTAGCGCGCGGACTAGCGTGCGGAGTAGTCTAGACCCGTAGAGTCAAGTGCTATGCAACGTTGGTCTATTTTGATCAAGTGGCGACAGCGAATGAGAATGCTGGACAATAAGTTGCTCTATACCTACGCAAATATATAAGAGAGAAGGATGACCGCTGATTTTTTAAAAACCAATTTGACCCTTGCATACAAGACCCTATCAGGTTATCCCTCTTCTCATCCTGATAGAGCTCTAGCCGGCCGGCGACCCAACTACACCCCACAAGCCTCCTCTTTCATCGTGGAAAGCGATCTCTAAAGCTAATTTCAAACTGCCTTTCATAATGTTTGCTCAACTTAAGACAATCATCTTACCAAAGAGTCAAGTACGCATGTTCTACCGGGAACTTGGCGAAAGGATTCATGAGAAAACAATCCTCCTTCTTCACGGCTTTCCTTCTTCGTCCCATCAATATAGAAAGTTGATGCCTCTACTTGCCGCCAGATACCGAGTTGTGGCACCGGATCTCCCAGGCTTCGGCTTCACGGAAGTACCGGAAGGATTCAAATATTCTTTTGAGACGCTCACCGACACAATTGAAGAATTTCTGGACGCCATCTCCCTTTCGAAATTCTCGATTTATATCTTCGACTACGGTGCCCCGGTTGGGCTTAGTCTGGCGCTCCGTCGTGCGGACGCGATCGAGGCCATTATCTCTCAAAATGGAAACGCGTATGTGGAGGGATTCGGCGACGTGTGGGGTCCCATCCAAGACTTCTGGGCCAGCAAGGGTACTGCCGCAGATCGAGCCAAAGTGGCGGATGCAATGTTGACATACGACATTACAAAGTTCCAGTACCTGAATGGCACACCAGACCCCAGCAGTATTGCCCCCGAATCTTATACGCTAGATTATGCGTTGATGGAACGTCCTGGAAACAAGGATGTTCAGCTTGATTTGTTTATGGATTACCAGAGCAATGTTGCGCTCTACGAGAAATTTCAAGAGTATTTCAGGTCCTCTCAAGTGCCGCTCCTGGCTATCTGGGGGAAGAACGATGTTTTCTTCATTCCCAGTGGAGCTGAAGCATATAAGAAAGATCTACCTCGTGCGCAAGTCAAATTTCTCGACTCCGGTCATTTTGCGTCAGAGAGTCACGCTGAGGAAATTGCTGACGAGGTCATCTCTTTCTTAGGGTAGCTCGAGGGCTGAACTAGGATGGTAAAGTGAAATATGCGTGATGCTTGGGCACCGCCCTTGTTTGAGGTTTATCAAAGATATAGTTTATCCTGTTTCTGTGACTACGTTTTCTAATGCACTAGTTGGAATCTTCGATATACTGCAATCATATTTACCTGCATGAAAAACAAAAAGCAGAGTTGAGAATGCATCTATCCAGGACTGCGATGTATTCGAGAGGATTGATTCCTTACCTTCAAAAATAGGCGGCGTAGGCGTCGAAGGTGAGTGAGAAACGCTTATTTCATGAACTCGGGTTTGTTCGAGCAACTCAAGACCAGTACCAAACGAAGTGGTTAAATACATTCTCATGATTATAGACCTGTTGCCTTTTTTTTTTTGTTTCTGCCCTTTGTTTCTGCCCTTTGTTTCTGCCCTAAGGCTCATGTACATGGGCCTCCTCGCTGATGTAAAATTCCTGCGCTGGTAGGGTCACCGGTGGATGAGGGGAGTCCAGTACGGTTATGTACTTCTCTTAATCCACAAGCTGCTATATTAGCCCTCCGTAGATGCAAGATATTGCGTGCTGCCGAATAGCTTACTTACCGGCAATAGCCCAGCGGTTACTAAAATATCGGAGTAGTTCCACCATTCTGTATGCTCTTTCCTTGTGTTGTGATTCACCCTTTTGCTTCCACAGTCGCGATTCTATAACTGCGGTCTGGTACAATGCATACGGCACGAAAGGCGATAGCATAAAGCGCTTGTTTTCGTCTTGAGCGACGCCCAAGAAGTAATCCGAAATTTCAGCCATTCTCGCGGAAAGCTGTTCCATAGCGATCAGGGTGAGATGTTCATCGAGACTTCGGTGCTGGGAGCGAAACAGTGGAGCCGAGTATAGTGTAAATAGGGAGCTAGTCATATGAATAGAGTTTGTTAGAGTGCCAATACATAATGTGACAATGGTTGATGTGGAACGGGCAAAATCACCTTACGCAGGTCGACAGAGCCCCGCAATAGTTGCTAAATTGAAGTTCTTCCTCAATCAAGAGAGGAAGAAAGGATAACAACGTGCGTTCAAGTTGTATTGCCTCTTCTTCGTGGAAGTGGGCGTCCGAAACAGGATTGAAGACATGATGAACAACCCTTCCGACAAGGTGTGCTACCTGGCATTCCCGTGCAAATTTGCCTAGCCTGAAGGGTGCAGGTGTGGCAATGGTGGGTTTAGTTTGACTAGAAAGAAGCTATCTCACCGTGTTAATGTTAGTTAAATTGGTCGACATGCCTTCAATGTTGTCCGGGAAAACGAAAGGTCATGCTGACCTCTAAGGGAGGAGACCCGTCATCAGGAGGTAAAGGATCCTCTCTACCAGCATCTTCACTGTTAAAGATGGCATCCCCATTGAAGAGATTTATGAACCTTCTCGATTTATCAGCCTATGGTCCCAACGATTCTTTCATTAACGCGGTTCAACAATTTGTGGTATTGCGGTAATAGTGACTCGCCATTGGACGTACCTATCCAGATTATGGATTGCCCACCAGGTCCTTCTTTTCTCGCCAATATCATTCCCTATTTCAGAAAGTGGCTCAGATCTGATTTTGTGCAGACCGAGGTTACGGGCTGCTCTCGCGCAAGATGCCATTGATATAGAAGCTGCCGGGTAGATTCCATGACCCACTTCATAAAGTGCTATCAATAGCATGCTTTGGATCGTGTCTATTGAACAACAACGCAACATTTCCAGTTGATTGATGCCTGTCTTAGCGAGGGCGTAAAGTGATGAAATCATGCTATCAACCGAACGCGAAGGGGTTTGTTGTAGCAGATGCATGCATAGGCAAAGCGTGATGAACCCTGAATCTGCGGACGTGAAAAGGCTAGGCAGGCGCTCGTAGAATTTCTTTTCAGATAGAACAGCCAGCTTATAATGAGTCGAGCTAAAGTACGCACGAGACATTTTGCGTGTCTTTTCCACAGATCCAAGGGCACTAAGAGCATTCGTTTGGCAATGAGCGATGATCGCAGCCGCCCACGGTTCCTGGTGAGGGCAAGATTAGGCAAGTAAAATGATCTGGCAGGAATGGTAGAACTACCAATAGTACTGCAGAGTCCCTAAAGGCAGCATCTGGTGGTTTCGCGAAAGTGACAGGGACTTTATCGTAAGCGCATTGTCGCTTCACTCTGGTGTTCGTTAGAGCCGTAGCTACCAAAAGATAAAGACGAATTGAAAGAATATTTTGTCTTCATTTACCGCGCACAGTAGGAACAAGTTGGTATTGCTCTATCACACCTTCTTTTGCCACGTGTACATGCAACGCATGCATTCGTAGGTGACCGAGGTGTCTGTGGCGTGACTTGTTCCATGCTCTGAGATATTTCAGTGGAAAGGCGGCCGGGTTTGAGTTGGACCAGATTGCTGCTGAGTCCTGATTCGATTTACTGGTGATGTTGCCTGTTCAGTGACCAGTAATATCCAAGTTGCATAAATAGTAGCTGAATGTAGTCTGATCAGAAGAGGAATACATAGTAGGAAGAGCCAAGACGTGTGGTTGCAGCAGATGGTGGATCTTGTAATTGGGAGCGGTCACATGACACATCGGATTGTATCCAAATTGGGAACCCCAGTTGTCCAGCCAAGTACGAAGTCATGGCCAATCAGATGATAAAATGTTCAAATTACAGCGAAATCTTAGATACCGACAGCTTGGACCGCATTCTCTTTCGTGGCAATCTGACTTGTTAGCTAACTTCTAAGTTAGTTTAATCTGGAAGGCTTTTGTGACGGAGGGGGAAAGGTGGGGCAGTAGAGGTAGCATGTGTATGGTGGTTTCGTGTAAAATACATTCCTAGCGGTCTCATAGTTGTATTATAAAGAACGGCGACCGTTATTGGAAAGCGGTCTGAATGAGGCCCGAGGTACCTGATCCAATCAGAGTTCACATATGGCGAATTTATTTTCCGGGAATGAAGTCATAAGAGTATGGAAGTATAATAGATTTCGAAAACTACAGTACATGACGGCGTAGTATGGAAACGAATCATCTCCGCCAAAAAGCCCAAATGAGGACTGGAACCGGTGAATGCAGCCGGCAGCATAACCTCCTATGGAGATAACAAATAAGCATAGGACGAATGTTATGCAGCCATAGTAAATTCGAGCATTGCAATCCTCTCGCAGCCATCTTAGGTGGATCGAAAGAAGTATGCCAAAAATGAAAAGCACTGCTGAGATGAGGGCCGTGATAACCATGCTAACGAATATGTTGCTCATGAGCTTCTGGAATGTGATATCCAGCATAAAACCGTCGGCGTTCACGAAGTCAGACTTTGCGCGGTTTTGTAGGACGCCCGCGAGGTGTGCAGAAGCTGAGCTGATAGTGGCAAGTCCTAGCCAGATAATCGTAAGAAAAGAGACGACCAATCGCATCCGGATCAGGTCGTTGGTGAAAAAAAAGGCATTGTCCACAGAAATTGTTTCTTCTATCTCCAAAATGTGAGCTAAGTTGTTCGGACAAGTTCTTGTATAGTGAGGGAGTGGAGGCGGAAATGAAGTGGTGAAGAACTCCGGACAGGGTTGATTTATACTTTATCGTACGTGCAGTGTGCTCTAATTGCCTTGCCTATTTAATGAAAAATATAGCCGAACCTAAACTGCGCTAAACGCCCTTTGCACTGCCCGCTACCTAGTGGTAATCTGCATAGATCCGCGATATACGTTAATAGTTAGAATCCTATATATTCTTAGTTGGCGGCTCCGAAGAAGTGTAGGTCTCCGGCATCTTAAGTCAACTATAGTGTCAGGACCCAAGTACTAAGCAGGTCTGACGATATATATCTCGCAGTCTCACATAGACTGCGAGATGGCCAGTTCGCAGGTGCGAACTGGACCCAGGGCTGAGACCCGCAATGCGAGGGCTCATGACCTCACATGACCCCACATTTGTATATAAACAGTTCAGGGGCTGGAGTCTCGGACTCCAGCGATTAGTTCAGCATTGAACCTGTCTACTGCTTTCTCCATTCTATTGCCCGAATCCACCTAAGTCCCAAGACCCTCGTAACGGGGTCTTACAGGTTAGATATATATCTCACAATAACATCTTCCTCACCACCCATATTGGCAGTAGGGTCCGGAAGCTCTGTTAAACTACCCATGTTAGGTATCTGCTTCTTTGATTTCTCCCTTTTTTTCATCTGTTTTCTATTTCCCTCCCGTAAACACTTAATCTCATCCCGCATTAAGATATGCTCGTGAACTAGCTTAACCGACATATTGTAAAACCGTTGAAGATCACGTTTTGTAGGTGAAGAGATCTTATCAGCAGCCGAGCTTAGACCAGAATTGAGCCTAGATTTGCGTTTTTCTAGCTGCTTAGTCGTCCGAGGGATACCGGTAGAGATATTACTGCCTGATGTTGAACCTTGTGAAACTGGTCGATCTGGTAGAGGCGGAGATTGAAGGCGAATATTAAGTTTTGATAGTACCCGATCAGGATCTAATGGCACTAAACCAGTAGCTGCGAAGGCACTTTGAACGATAGACTCTTTGAATAAATCGTTACGGGCCGCTGGGAAGATATTAAGGAAGTCATCTTTCTCGATAGAATCGATGCCTAATCGGGTATATTCTGCAACCCGCCTTCCGTAAGAGCGCTTTAACACAGCAAAACAACCAATATCAAGAGGCTGTAAAAGATGAGAGGCATGCGGAGGCATACATATTGGTATAATGTTGTTTTCCTGGCAAATCTTATCGAATGTCGCTGTAAGATGACTGTCGTGGCCATCAAGGACCAAAAGACAATGTTTCCCTTTCATCTGACTTTTTGTATGCGGAATAATTTGGAGCCAATCAACGCCAATTTCGTTACTCGTCCAGCCATTTGGATTAACGTTAAGAGCCCAATGTTTGGGAAGGTCGTCGAACCATCGTTCCATAAAGTTTTTGCCTTTAAAGATAACGTATGGTGGGAGCGCTCGCCCGGAGGCGCAAATTGTTTTAATAACAGTCACCCATTCGCGATTACCAGCCTGTAAAACCCCCCTCCGACCGGTATAAAATGACTGTGTGATAATTTTCGTTGTTGCACTGACTCCCATCGCAAATCCCGATTCGTCAAAGTCATAGATATCGTCGGAAGTGATACCATATTGAGCAATCGTTTTTTCAACAAGCTTAAACCACTCAACAATGATATTTGGATCTTTCATTAAGGCGCGTTTGTAGTCATATTTGCGAGAGAATCGACTAGAAAGCTCGGGATGTCGTTTAATGTATTGTGTTGGCCAATTCTTACTAACGGTCTGGGGGGTATGATCTCCACGGTTTTCGAGTAGTAAAATGGCCATATCTCTTAACATGGCGATCGTAAGAGCAGCACCTCTATGATCCATAGAGATTAACCAATCCTGGATTGATTCCTCTTCCAATTGGGTGAACTCATGGCCTATAGCCCTTGTGTCAGACCAACTAGTTACCCCTTTCATCCGGTCTTGTAGCGTAGATCGTGGGAGGACATCGAAAGAGCGAGCAGCAGCAGCAACGGAGGTAAACCGGCCATTTTTGATAGCCTTAATTGCTAGTAGAACTCTGCCTTCCTGCTCAACTGATTTTTGAGCTTTTTGACCGCGGATTGGAGGCATGGTAGGTGTTTAGAAATAGGAGGTTTGGTGAGGGGAAGCAAAATTGAAATGCCTGCCGGAACGACCAGGATCCACGTTACTCTCTAGCAATTCACCGACAGAAACTATTTTGACGCGAGACTTCCGACTCAAGAGATGTAATGCAGCTATTCGCATCGAAAGTATCGGCAATCCTTTTCGCCTGAAATCTTTCTGCCTTGATGGCGACGATTAACACCAATTTTCGCATCATTGGCTGAGCTCGATTACAAGACTCCGTTATACCTGTCCGACATTGTGTTTTGACTCACATCGCGAGAAACGTGCCATGCTATAGCACACAAAGAGCCACTTGCTGATAATGTCGTCCGTACTGCGATACAGCCGATCTAAGTGGATAATAATAGGGTTTGTTGATCAACGCGGACGCAAGAATTACTAATTCGGCCGGTCGCATTTGACCCTTCCCCTCCTACCTTTTTCAATGACCTCACACGACTGGAGACCCAAAAGCTAATTGGGCTTTCAACACCCTACTAACCCTATCCAAGAGGTTCTACTAGTGCAAGGCTATCAAAGAATTTGACTGTTTTCCTATAGCTATATCACCATGACTATTGAGCGGTTTCGCTCATTAGTCTGTTTCACCCAACACAAAATGCATATTTTATTAGATTTTCAACCAGCTATCTCTATATATCATACTATTTAACATAGGGTTCAATGGACTCAGGCCCCTTCCACAAGCCATTACCCTTGCCTGAAACGCTTCTTCTCTTTTATCTCTCCATTGGGGCTGCTCGCTCGGCAATTAAGGTTGTTTCATGCCAAGCGATTCGCCGAAGCTCCTTGCGAGAATCCTCATTTGACCATTGAATTAACATAATAATAAATTATCTCATCTAAAATAAATTAAAAAACTAAGATTTTGAAAATGTCGACAAATTTGGTTTCATATTAACCAGTATGCCTTCTCATTGGGACCCATATTGCAGCAAATTGTTGCATCATTGGATTGAATTCATAGAACCCTGTCAAGCTTATTCTTGGGTATATATGATCTGATGGAGAAGTCACGATGTGTCTTTTTTGTTCCATCAATATCATCGCGAAAGAGCTCTTCAGGCCCCAGCTTATTTTGAATTTTTTATTTTGAATTTTTTAAGCTTGTTTAGGCGTTGAGAATATAGCAGAATGTTTTGATCAATTTGAGCTCCGAGCGCGGATTTGCGAAGCTAATGTGGAGCCGTGGGACATCGGGAGTACAGTACACCTGATTATGGCAAATCAGGAATGTGGGGAATCGAACATTATTTGACGAATGGTGTCAAAGCATGAATACGCACAAATACACCGTACTTAAGCCTAGCTAAGGAGGTGTGCACCTTTCTAGCCTAGCGGTCACGAAACAGGCGTTTTTTCTATGCGACAAATGGCAATAATCTGATATCTGATTGATTGGTCTTCCCTGCGTTCTTGCGACTTGCGGAATGAGGCGGGACGATACAGGTCGGAACGGGACCGGAAGGGCTTTGGCGGATTGTATATAATAGCTTAGAATATGTGCAAACCCGGGCTTGGCATCGCACCTTTTCGGATAGCTTCATCTCCTTCACTCTCTCTTTTCTCAACCACCATCCACGAAGACGAGCTTTGAATAGTATCATTCCACAGATTCTTCTTCTTCTTCTTCTTCTTCTTCTTCATCTTCTTCTTATGTTCAGTGTAGCTGATAGCCTTCACATCAACTCCATTTAGCATCCGTCAGGGAATCGCGGGGCTGGAAGGAGTAAGAGTTACGATACCATTCTATCTCGAGCTACGCAACCTAGCGTATCTAATATCAACCTAGAAATTTTGTTTACACAGCATACCACCAGGTAGTCATACTGAGGGACGCCGAGACATTCAAGAATGCTGAAGGATATGCTTGAACTCGAGAGTAGATAAATAGCGCTGGAATGGCACGAAACGAACATCGCTAGCCTATAGACCACCCTCCTTACTTGGCAGCTTTGGAGCGGACCCTGCAGTGTGCGTCACACAGGTTAAGTCTTTTTCTGCATATATGGCAATGAATGAGCTACGAGCAACCACATCGAGACTTTTGCGCGTTTCCTGGATCTACCTTCAACTGAATTTGCTTACAGTAATGGGAGAGCCTAATCTTTTCAGCAGCTTTTCTTTCTGCTGGCGGGTGTGCAGCTCCCGTTTCATTATTACTAATGTTACATGCTAGGAAGGCGTCATAGCGGTGTCAGAGCTGCACGCGTTGAGGGCAGCCTGGCTGATTTCCGCACTCTTTTCAAACCAGCCTCTGTTTCCTCTTTGGGAAATCATGTGATCCCGGCTCTGGCGTTTGGCTACGAGTTCTTGCTTCAGTTGGATGAAGCACCTGCATAGTCATATGCAACTAGTTAGACTGCAACAGGTCAATTAAACTTTGATTGATTGATTGATTGATTGAACTGAAGTCAAAAGTGTCCGACCAGCCTGATTGAAGCGAAAAGATAAAAGATGTAAGGTGGCAACGTCAGTCCATTCGATTGTTGACCGCTGCCTTGAACATGCGGCAGTCGAGTATTATTCCATGAGTTTAAATCGCAAATCAGACACCTGGTTTGCTTTAGTGTCTGGAAATTTCAAGCGCGCGGACATAGCTTAAGTTCTCTCTTTCGTGTTTTCATGTTTGTGGATGTGGCTGACCGATCCCCGCTTTTCTTCGACTATCTGCGTGAAGGTAACGGTCGGTTTCTAGCCCACAGATTTGCGCGCGCTGCTGACTTCAGAGTACAGTTCATCAACCTGCTCTAGAATAAGTCTCTTGGCCTCGTAGATCATGAAGTAAATGAAAGCAATACAGAGAAAGCAGCAATCGAACCAGATGAAGTAAATTTTAGACCATTTCCGTGGGTTCTAGGGACGAAACTAGAGACGTTTTGGTGAGTTAGAGTGACATTTGATTCAATTTTGAGTCGTGAACCGATGAGACGGTCAAAAATAAAACTTGAGCATTTCGTTGACGATTGAATAACTTCCAGTGCACCAGAGAGCCTCAATTTAGAAGACCGTGAAAATTTTCGTCAGTCAACGTTCCATAAACCCACTCAGCGTCACATTTTCTTAACATGACCTAGCTCGGCTCTCCCACTAGGCATCTAAACATGGCATCAAGAATGTCGCTGCAAATAGTGGCGGTGAAAATGAACCCGGATTTCAGGAATGTCCTAACGACAACTTGAATGAGATGAATTTCTCGCGAAGATATTATCAATTAGTTTTGTCTATGTACCAAGGCTTCAAGAAAGGCCAAGCAACTCAAGGTTCATCCAAACAATTACAACATTATATACACCCAGTCCCAAAGCCCCGAGATACCCATCAGGGCTTGTAGGCCATGGTTTTATAGATTGTGCTCCATGATAGGTCCGTTGTAGATCTTTCTCGCACGGATATAATAATAGACGAGACTGAGGAGGACGGTACCCACAGTCCCAACGACACTAAAGTTCATCGTCTGGACAGTCACCACCCAATAAGTTGGCCAGAAGGTAAAGAAGACAGCAATGGTCATATAGATCAAAGCCCAGGCGTTGATCAGGATGCCCCAGATACCGGGTAGGTGAAATGGTCCCCAGACTAGTTTCGCACCAGCGGTGTTGACGATAGCCGAATCGCTGCTACGAGCAGAGCTGATTCCGCCTGTGCAGCGACGCCAGAGTAGAAGACTGCCGACTACCATATATGACAGGTAAAGGCCGGAGATGGACATGGAGCAGAGGTCATTGAACGCAACTGGCGAGCCGATGTTGATGAGCGCGAGGAGGCAAGCGATGACAGATGTTGCTAGTACGGAATAGAGTGGAACTCCGGAGCTCTCGGTAACCTAGTACCTCTTGGTTAAATCAATGCCACTGGCAGATGATGGGAACTTGGAATAATGACACACCTGACTCCACATTCGCCAGCCGGGAATGCCTCGGTCTCGAGCAAAAGACCAGAACTGGCGGGAAGTAGACGCTAACATGCCAACTGATGTTGTGGCACCCATAGTAGTCACGATTGAGCCCATAACAGCGGTACCAGCTTTGGATCCTGTTGCCTGGTAGAAAATGGACATGAAAGGGTATCCCGTAGGGGATTCGAGAGCCGTTCCGAGATCGCCACTGCAAAACAGCATGGCGATTAGCATCCCGAAGCCCATGGATCCGTTGATCAAGACACTCAGCATGATCGAGGTAGGAACTGCAACAGAGGCATTTGTGATTTCTTCAGACATCTAGGAATGGCGGGTTCAAATTAGTTTCAGTCTTCACATTTATTTAGAAGAGCAGAATAGACGCACATGGACCGCGGCATCACCACCGGCAAATGCAAAGATACAGCCGACGGTTCCGACAAAGAAGGACAACCCTTGGGACGGGAATTCTCCCAGGTTGAGGAATTGGGTGAAAACTTCCTTCGAGGTTCCATGATCCGCCATATAAGTCAAGGGGATGAGAATCGCGAAGAATCCCAGGATATGAAGAATCAGAATCATGCCCTCAAAACGGGGAAGAACCTTTCCTCCAACGCCGTTGATAGCGACAGAAAAAACCACGATAGCCCAGAAGATAAGAGTTCCGTGCCAGTTTTTGGGTTCGTAGCTATCGTTTGTGAGCACAGCCAAGCCTTGAATCAAGGTGCCGACTAGATAGCATGAAGTTGCGAACGTGGCTTGCCACCCAATAACAGTGAGCCAACCTATAATTGTGTTTAGATTCAGGGTTCAAACTATATTGTTAGGGTCCTTCACTCACCTGTGAGATAGCTCAAGAGTTTCATACAAGATCGCGGAGCTAACATGGAACACCAATGATACTGCCCTCCAGATGTTGGCGCCCTATTGACTGTTTAGATCTCAATGTTTCATGGCAAACGGACTTATTGCATACATTGATGCCAACTCCGATAGAACCACAAACGTCGCCGCGACACCCGCCCAAACGAAGAGGAAACCATATACTGCTCCAGCTGGACCCCCACTGTATAAATCTTGTCAGCGCTGTGGTATCGATGCTTGTCATCGCCTCTTACTTTTGGTATGCTTGCAAAAAAAGCCTAAGTATGTTGTTAGCAAACGTTCGAACAAAACTAGATCTTCTTTAGTCAATGTCACTTACACGACAATTCCTTCCCATGTAATCAAAATGGTACAACTGAAACCCAGCATTGACATCAACCCAAAGTTTCGCTATTTCCCGTTAGTCCAGATCACAATGCATACCCTCGAGGGGCATCTACCTTCAAAACGGGGCGCTTGCCCATCCGCGCCAGATTAACATCATCAAGCTCCTTGCTTGATATATGACCAATCTCCTGCAACCCCGGCGAAGACATTTGCTTCGAGTATTGAGACGGCATCATAAACGAGTGATTGATGCCGGAAAGGAAGAAGCAAAAAGGCCACCTGTCATAGGGAAAGAACCAAATTTTTGTCAGGAACTTCGAGGGGAAAAGGGTTGAAAACTAGTGCAATCAATCCTGAACATACTTGCATGTAATTGGGGGGCATCTTTATGCGCTAATGCGCGCATAGGCATGAAGGCAAGTGAGCCCTGGAGGTATGTTATTGGCGAAATTGCGTGACTAATCGGATTGCTGGTTTCACCACTGATCCGAAGCGATGCAACCTGACATTGTGGCTAAGGCCAGATGAGGAAGGCCAAGTCCCAGAACAATATAACTTAGTCGCTTTAGTCGCTTTAAGCCTAAGAGAGAACAAACCAATTATGGTCCGGGGGCCCCGGGAGCGCTAACTAAAATCTAAATTGCGGAGGCTGAAAGGCCAGGCCCAATGCTAGTTAACTTGCTGATGTAATCGATAAGCGAGCTGGACACACCTCCGAGCTGGACACTCCAAAACAGTGTACGAACTGCGATAACTTACGTCTTGATATCTCAACAACAGTGGTCTATAGAGACTTCTTCTTATATCACTATAATTTTAAGGTGATGTCTATCCTCTTGAAAAAATTTAGAGAATTATATTAATTTAGTGATAAAGAGATATATTTCTGGCTCAGAGCAATGTAATTTCCGATACAATGATAATGCAGCCTGTCGATTTCTTAAATCTGATACATAGCGTTAAAAAGTGTTATCAACAGCTATCGACCTGCCATGAAATAAAATAAAAACGTGGCTGTCGAGATATTGAGTTCTCGAAAATGGCACTTACTGTAGTATGGTGTTTCGGGGTGTCCAGCTCGGTGGTGTGTCTAGCTCGGTAGTGGATTACGTTAAGTCTCGCATTAATTCCTGGGCGTCCCGCCAATCGGTGGAGCGCCCAGCCTCTCAAAGTAATTGTCTTGCTTTTATCCGCCATTGGCCTTATATTAAATTCATGTGGATTTCTAGAACAGATTTTGAAGCATATTATTCGTTGGGTTCTATAACAAAATGATCCGATATTATGCACAATTTACAGCACAAGCGAACGGTGTATCGAAGGATTCTCTGATCCACGTTGCACATCTCATAGTTGTAATCCTTTTTTGTTCGTCAATCTCGGAACGCTTCGGTCACGGTCCAGGTCCGGGTCTCCATAATTATGTTAGAACGACTGGACTGGCTTTCGGCATCGTCGTCCGGTGCCAATGTAACCACCGTATGATGACTTCCCTCAGGCAGTGAGACTAGTTCGTGAGTATCACTTCGAGTTTCCATAGTGCGACGAGAAGCCTTCAAGGTACTCATGCCATATGTCTTGTGCTTGCTGCCATAGCCGTTGGAGCTAGACAATCCAAGACCCATCCCCGATGACCGTAGATTATCTAGGAAAGGCTTGAACTGGGGAGAGCAAGCCGTGACAATGCTCAAGGCTTGAGCCACTTGGGTTGAAACTACGACGGCCCAGGTATCAAAGGTTGAATCAGAAGAGGATAAAGTGCTACTGGCATAAGCAAGTTGGCAGATAATCGCGATAACAACGCTGCGAACACAATTGCTGTTAGTAAAAGCGACCGCGATAGGGAGGTAGAATTCATCACATACACGACTCGGATTAAGAACACACTGAACACTCCCACCTTTCTGTTGAAATCGGTTTGGATGCGAACGATGACCAGTAATGCCTGGCCAATTATGCCACCCTCTGACAATATGTTTGTAACGCCGAGATAATTCCACCACGCAGTCTGGGACACCATCAGCGACTTCTCTGGGTATTCACACGAGTTAAATAGCTACGTACTCGGTCAAAACACTTCCCGTTTAGATAGTCCCATGTCTGCGGTAGATGGCATTGGAACGCGGCTGTGAATATGCTAGCGATGGTCCATAGTCCGATCACTATTCCTAGCACAAGCGAAAAGCGGCGATCCAACGATGCGGGGGTCAAGTTACGAATGAATATCAAAAGCGAGAGTTTTGAGCAGCAAATGCCTGCAATAAAGAGGATGGTTCCGGCGTATTCAGCCTAGAGTTGTTTGACCCGTTAGCGGTGATTCAGAAAGAGGCAAGTCTCCTATGCAAATATGCACCTTCATCATGTTCTCGACTCTGAAATCAGGCAGCAAGTCACGGTGCTGTCCGAGTCCATTAGCAGTTCCCATCGAGACGGCAATAGACTGCGCGATGCAGAGAACCATCGACGAGGCGGCAAGGCCATCGTCAATTGTAAACTTGCGAAACATAAAGTATTTTGTCCCCAGCCGGGTCAACACGCTCAGAATGGCCGTGACCAGCATGAACCAGGTCAAGACATTGACCGCAGGAGTCCAGGTCTTTTTTAACTCCGGGTTCATGGCGCCGGTAGTGATCAGGAAAGATACGAAATGAAGAAGCTCAACGCCGTGGTTATCACATATTGCACGATGTCCTCAGTTTACCCGGGACTCGTAGCGGAGTCCAGCGTTAGCCTGAAAGAACATCGAGAACCATTCCGCCGGACCCGAACAAGAACGCTATAATGCAAGCGGTTTTTCGTGGACTCGCAAAGCCAAGGCGCCATTGCCATGTAAAGTTAATCACAAATCACGGCGAAGGGTCACACCTACTGTACAGGGGGCTAAAAGTTTATGTTCGCCATGCGACAAGGAGCGACCAGGTTGTGTTGATTGTTTGAGGCTTAGTGACTCCCCACTAAGAATCACACGTCTATGGAGTTGCGCAGGAAACACCAATGAGGCAGTGCGCGATTTTCTTAGGTGCATTAATCCCTGCTCAATCTCTGCTTAGTCCGAAAAACAAGGCCACAATCCCGGTCGCTTCGGCCGTGTAATCTGGAACAGTTTCTCATATTGATTGGAGCTTTAAGCTTGGTTCTCTCTCTTGATAATATCTTCTGATGACACCTTAGCCCGGTGATGAAAATTTTAGAGTACACGGACAAACCAACCCCCTTCAGGGGTTGGGTCTCCACAGTGTAATCAAATCCACAGTCTAATACAATTTTTATCCAACGCAGTCAATATTTTTGCATTTCTCCCTTTATGCTCAATAATTGCAAAAACCCTCCCATAAATACTACCATAATAAAACTGCCTCTGGATCAAATGTCACCCCATTCGGACGGGGCGCTCGGATAGGAGATCCATCCTCACTATCGCAAGTAAACCCTTTATTTTACGTCTATTTTCAGCAACCATCTCTTTGGATTCGCGCGCTCGAATCATTCTATTAGTATCGCTAGCGTCCATAGGACCCTTCATATTAATCTGCCACTTAGTTTTTCAAGCATTTGATTCTTTATGGCGGCGTAAGAGGAGCGAATTATCCGATTGTAGCTGATCCGTAAGCTAGGTGCTTACCGCGCAGTTCGATACAATAGCTTCGTACGCTCTTTAATTCGTGAATAAAGCTCTTCGTATAGTAATGGAATGTCGGTTTTGAGCTTCTACGTACTTTTCTAGGTCCGAAGAACTCGTTTAGGCGGGGAATTGGTGATTAAAGACGGAAAATCGTGATTATCCGCTTCGTCGTCGGATATTATTAAGTCATCCCCTTAATTAATTCTTTATTTCTAGCGGGAGTAACATAATAAATGGATCAAATGGCACGATCCTGCGTTTTTAAAACCTAGGTCGAATAATTCGTAGAGTAATAGCGCTACGAATGTATTAGATCTCGCGGAAAGATCCACTCTCATTATTATGGCTTTTGAAAAAGTTTTTAAGGGTCTAAAGTGTTACGAGCCAAGTCTTGATGGAAAAGAGTGCATTCAACTAAAATACTAAACATGGGGAAAGAAAGAAATAAAGATGAAGAAAGAAACAACGCACTGAAACAATTATGGTAGTGATGCCTGAGGCATCAATCAAACAAATGCAAACCATGTTTCTCCGAAGGGCGGTGGAAACCGGCAGAACCGGTTCCAGATCCATGATCGTGAATTCTTCGTGACATAAAGCGGCGAAGAATCTAATGGCTGCGATAGATATATCGTATACGGAAGAAAGAAGTATGGAATAATTTGTTGTCGGTTGCAGTCTTAATAAATTCCGGTGTGTAATGCGAATAATCGTGTCGCTGCACACCCACACCGGGTGGTGTGGGTGTGCCCCCTTGGATCACATTTCCCTCTGAATCACACATTTCACCAAAAAATGCACTATTTCATTGAATATATCTACCAGCACCTTTCGTATCTATACAATAAATACCATCTACCAATTCTTTGGCCAATTCTCCATCATCTGGCTCATTTACTTGCACCGGATTTGCCACCCCGTCGTCGTCAATGGCCCTCTGAAGTGCCGCCATTTCCCAGTCCTTCCTATGCTTTTTGAATAAATCCTACCTTTCCACATTCGCCCTATCCTTGAGCTGTTTTTTGCATTTAGAAACTAGGGCTGGACCAATGTCTGGAAGTCTCCTTATAGTTCTTTTAGCACCACCTTGTTTTTTGTGCCGGACCATGCGTACGTTGTCTTTGCAAATTGAGCCCCAACCTCGACAAGAGCGGTCCCCCCAGATAAAGCCAATTTTATCCCACTTCTCTGCTTACTCCTAAGCAGAAATTCGAGCTGGAGATATTTTAATGCTTTTCCATTGGATGTCCGTAATAACTGTACGGTCGCAGGGGTGATTTAGTAGAGAGCTCAATTGCGGAGGGGGTGTCTGGGGGCGGGCGGCCCGGCCAGGACATTGGCCATTGCCCTGGCAAATGCATTTTAAATGATCTAATGAAATGCCCTGACAATAGCCCTGACAATGGCTAATGGCCTACTCGGGTTCAATATTAATGAGACTCAAACCCTGCAAATCAGGCAGGTCGTCGTCAAGCAGCCCTAGGTTTTCTAGGCCTTTCTCCCTATTAATAGGCTAAACCCTAGTTTCCCGGAAACCCGAACGAATTGAACGCTTGGTTAGAGCTTTGGTGCGCACTACATGAATTCCAGCAAAGGATTCAGCCTTATATTTTGACCCCCCCCCCAATATGCAGCATTATTATTATAGGTTTTATAATAATGCTTTAAAACCTGGAAAGGGGCTCCATCTAATGGCTGGCACCCATGTGTTGGGTGTGGAATAAAACAGAATGGGACGATATCTCTTCTCCAGCAGAATTCAATGAATGCCATTGACAATGAGAACTATGGTTATCTATAATTAGCATGCGATTAGCCCCATCTGCGCGATATTGGGTAAATTCATCAAATGCATGAAGCCAGGCCAATGAAACAATATGATCAGTCCAACCATTAGCGGTTGGCCAAATAGTAAATAGTGTAGTCGTCAGGGAGCTCGTTGGTAAACCAATTCTCCATATGGTGTTCCATCACGACGAATATTCCCACGGATACAGTTGACAGATAAATACCCATTATCGAAGATCTCATCGACTTCGGTGTATTTGCGTTCGCGTACTCAATTCCGCTATCGATGCAAGGATTTCGGAGATAGCGACCAAAATATATGCAGGAGCCTGAAAGAAAATAGACACCTTGTTAGGTACCTTCCCATCCATACAATCTAGTGCTCGCGGGTGGTCATAGCAAGGAGGGGAAAGACAATGCAATGCGATCGAGGATCAGTAGCAGTATGAGGGTTGTGACAGGATCTATGTATGTCATTATATCGTTAGGGATCACATGTATCTCCATTGTAGCACCCTGGGAAACGAAGTTTGTGAGGAATTGAGAAATCGCAGCCCAATAAAACGGAGTAAAAAGACTCTACACGCATACAATGCCATTTCGAGATCGTCAATGAACGCATCATCCCATGGAAATCTTTGGGGGGAGTCTTGCTGCGCCTGAAAGGTCGGTCGTGCATAGTTCAAATTGCCCTGTTGCTTGATAATAACCCACAAAGCTCGGCAAACGTTCAATTTATCGATCATCAGGCGGACTGCGGAGGTAATTATCTTTAGTTACCAAAATGATGGCGAAATCAACGAGGAAAATTGCCGTCGGCAGAGCAAATGCCGCTGAAAAGCCATAATATTGCTCGATTGCGGTTGATGCCAAAGCAGCAAAATAGCCTTTATTGATAAACAAAAAGAAAGTCGTGAATATTCTTAGATCCATGTCAGTTCTGGTATGCACTTGTAAGATAGGAAGCGTCGAACCTCTGGATTGTCAAGTCTTTATCGACGACAAATTTCTCCCAATGCTGGAGTACACGTATGGCTTCATTAGGGCCGGCATACTGCTCTGCAATCAGTGAGCTAACGTTTTCCTTGATGCCACCGATACCAATACCTATCATGAACAAAGTGACAGCAATGCTAACAGTGAAAAATCGCTGTCCTGAGCAAAAGGCAGGGAGGATAAAAACAAAGTCACCAATCCGCAGCTGTAAATGAAGGATGAATATATTATGGTTTTGACGCGTTCGCGATATTGTTCTGCAACAATCGCACCCATTACCAGGGTAATGAAACACTAAAGCATGAAACCATGAGTAACACTGTAGCATAGGCTTGTCCAAGCCCTAATTACGTCAGAATATATAGCAAATGGAGACATTTGCTTACGTACTAATTCGATAATGATAGAGCCATTCGAACATTTGAGCAGGTACCTGAGCGGTGGCTGCGTTGGGGCATGCCTCGGCGTGTTTGTTTGTGCCTTTGTCCGAGTAGTTAACGATCTCAGGGGTCTATACAATCGCACTTCGGCGTGTTACAACACCGTACTTCCGTGGAATACCATATTAATACTAGGGGGAATTGGGTGAACGATGAATAAGCCTGCCCCAAAGGGTCCTAGTGGTATTTGACCACTCCCTCAGTTCGTCACTAAGCAAGCTGTGGTACCAAATGGTAAAAATTACCGGAATGAGTAATAAAAATATGGCAAAATTTGCATTACTGCCGTACAAGACCAGTTGGGCTGTTTAAAGGAGGCTTAAAGCGCAATCTCCAGCTCGCTAACCGGCACAGAGTCCCTTATGGTCCCGCACGTAGGCTTGGCATATAATCCACGATGCTCCTAATTCTCGTTTGGGTTAGCTGTGATAATCTCAGTAAGTAAGGCGCCGGCTAAACTGCCATTACGGGAGTATTGAGCGTGGGTCGTGTAATTCTGGTAATTCGATGTAAGGCATAAATATCAGTTGACCTCTCTCTTGGGCCATTTCGTAGCTTTCGTGACATCGCAGTCTTCGTCTTCGTCTTCATTTTTTCATTTTCATATTTTTCATACTACTTTCCCGTTACTTCATTCATCCCAAGCTGAATAAACATCAGTTGACTCAGACTCTTGTTGCATGTCGTTCGGCCTCCAGTTCGTTCATCCTTAGCTTTGTCGGTCCAAAACAATGACGTTCACGGAACTACCAATATGGTTTCGGGTGTGAGTACTCCGTAGTCCTCGATATCTTCGTGATCTTTCACTGAATTGACCAGCATATTATTGATCTTGGCTACCATCTCATTTTTGCCCCAATTGTTACGCATCCGGACCAAGCAAAGGATAACTGGGGTCTCGCCATGCTATATATTATGCAATTTAATCAGCGCAACAGAGCAATTCACCATCTATTTCTACCTACTGTTCAACGAATACGACCCGAAAGGGGGTACCATCTTCCTACACACTCCTCCAAGTGCGGGGGACTGGTTCGGCCTATGCCACAGTGCTGTTGTCTCACTGCTTTCCCTCGGCCTGTACGACTATTCCCGTCACTTGATCGTGCGTTGACCCAGGGCTTACAATTATCTTTTCACTAGTTTCGTTCTAGTCTTACGTTATAGCGACTACAGAGTCTCTCTACGCGCTACCTATGCCGGCTTTCTCCTAGTATCCGTCATCCCGCTTTTTATCGAGTCGCTCTGGCCTATGGAAAAGGGACTTGGTCGAGATATACTGTCTACCTTTTTCGCCATAGTGCATATTTCCATTTTTTACCCGATCGTGACCGCTCTAGAGATGTTAGCCATCTTCTGCCAAGCTCGTGAGATCAAAAAAGTGCCTTTCCCGAATGTGCTAAGCGTGCATACATTAGCTATGCAAGCCTTTATATTTATGCTAATTGCGGTGGCGTGGATATGGAATCTTCCATTCGATTATAAGGAGTTCAGGGGCCAATGGGGATGGGGAACCTTTGCTATGTGGTATAGCTATGTTGGATGGGTCATTGTTAATGCCTTTATTTTTGGACTGGGGCAGACAGCACTCATGATAATGGCTTTGCGCTACTCATCCATGGCGAACGCTATACAATGTGGCGAGACAGCGCCGCTTCTAGGGTGAGAAGGAACAGGAAGTGAATGTCGAGTCAGTTTCAGCCATCTCTTGTTTCCCCATTAGAATTTCAATCAATCAATGTAAATTCCACCGCATTGCTGGCTGGCACAATAATGACAGGTCTACCTCCATTGTCTTTAGGATCTTTAACCTTGGCCACAAGCCACCCAGGCACCCAAACCATGGTGTCTTTATGATCTTCAAAACTGCCAAAATCCCACCAGTCGAGCGTAGCTCCTTTGAATAAATACCGGTATTGATCACCTGGAGCTGCATCCTTTGGGAATTCATTCACCTCCCGGGTAAATGACCAGGACTCCCCGGGTTTTAAAGTCCAGAAGTGGTTCTCGTCATTGCGACCAACATTGAGTGGATGGGGTTCAGTGATTATGAAACCCCTCTGATGTGTCCTCCATTCATACGGAGTCCAAGCGTTGTTTCCTCTTCTATATAGTCTGAAGCCTTCGTGGTAATCATCTGGTTGTTTGAAAACGAATGAATGGAATGTCAATGGTCTGCCGCACAGCGGAGGACCAGCTTCTGCGTCATATGAGACAGTGACGGTGAGAGTATATCGCGGCCTCGAGGGGGTTTGATCATCCATTGATAGGGTCGCAGGGCCAGAGATGCTGACACTGAAAATGGGGGCACCATTAACACGGGAAAATGGCGAGATAGCGCGTGGTGAAGGCGGAGGTGGATCCTCGAAATATTCAGGGTCACTCTCGTAGTTTAGCGTCTCAAACGTGTAGCATGATGGACCGGGAACTACTACTGGAGGGGATTTCAATGCCAGTGTTCGTCCACTATGTTCGGCCAGCGTTCTCCAGTCCCAAAGATGAATTTTACTCCCTGGCCAAAGGATTGAGTATGAAACTGCTGAACCGGCATCCTCGAGATACACAGCTGGTAGAGGTGACCTCCAGGAGATGCTACTACCAGGGACAAGCTCCTTGAAGTGAGGATCCGACACGGTCACTTTTCGCGGGATGAGATTTCTAGTGGGCAACTTTTCAGGGTCTACCACAATGTGTCTCAGACCATGTGATGCATGGAGAAGTAGCATTGAACCCGACTGACTAAATTGTCTTCGATCGGATTCCAGTGAATGATGCACGGTTTGGTTTGCGGATCTTCTGCAGCCCGCGTGATTGTGAAGAGCACACTGTAGCTCGGTTCATCGACGAACACGTCCACGGTGGGATCTCCTTCAATTCTGAGAGTGAGGTGGGGTGTGTCTGGTCTGGTCTGATTAGTGCTTCTGTTTGCCGGCTTAAAGAAACCTGTTTTTTACTTTCGGTCTTTTTCGGAATATTTCACGAATGGTAATAACTGCTGATCCATGGCATCTTTCATGAGGAGATAGGAATCGAAAGGCTGGTAAAGATGTTTTTCAGATATGGAGGGTTTGAAATAGATAAAACAAATTTGCAAAAGGAGAAAAATGGCGATGAGCGCATAGTAAAGCAGGAAAAATAGAGCGAACGGAGGAATTCTTCTCACAATCCAGTGACAAAGACACAGCTACAGTTAGTGGGCATCGTATCAGGATGACAGAACATAATACCCAACTCCTCGAATACAACACTGATTTCCCCCACTCATTTTTCTATTCTCTTTGGCGAGGGATAGTAAATTGGACATAACAAATAGGGGCTCTTCTAACTGCCCTACGAAAAGAGATACGTGTAGTATGTTTCATTACGGTTACTATGGGGAGACAGCTCAGAAGACATACAGCACATCGACATAGTGGATTTGGGTTGTTTTTGCCCCAGCATTGGCGTCTTGGACAGCACTTTCAATCGCGTTGTTCAGTTGGGCAACCAGAAGGTTGAGTTCTGTCCGTAGATCACGCGTAAGCATAACAAGATTACCAGAAGGCTTGTAACCAGACTTAAAATAATCGTAGCTGCTCTGGTCACAATCAGTGGTATCCTGGTTGAAGAATCCCACGTATCCAGTGACGAATAAATTGAAGTCTGTTGTCTCTGCCTTCTCGAGAATGGACTTGTACAGCGTGCTGAGCTTGTGTCGCATCCCGCTTTCTCCATCGTCATTCAAAAGCCCGCGAGCCTTATTTTCGGCGTCGATACACAGTTCTGGATACGATGCAGTACCACGCAATATCGCTGAAACCAAGGTCGTTACCTCCCATAGTTAAAGTGGCGAAGTTCGCAGTAGAAGTGCTCTTCCATTCCTTGATTTGACGTTCAAGTCCAGTTGTCGTGTCACCGGAGCACATATTCTTCTCAATCGGTATGACTTCTCGTAAATATTTATTCAACAGTGTTCCGTAGTTGTTGGAACCAACGCGGCAAGAGCTAGTCGTTGTCTTCTCAGTTCCCATGCCCGCGGCGAAGGAGTCGCCGAATGAAACCATCCCCGTGGGCTCAAAATCATCTCCACCATTTTCGTCAATAATGACGTCGTCGTATTTTGGGCACCCAGAATCAGCAGTTGAAGGACTTGTGGTTGGAATCGGTATGATCCTTTTGCACTTTTGACTGAAGTAAATACCAGCTGCGACCATGGCCCAATTATCCGCATTCGCGGCCGACAGTTCGGCCGAGCATTGTCCATCTGGGCCATCTGGAGTTGGATCTGGGCAAAGTGTTTTGGTTTTGTTGGCGTAGTCTGAGCACCCCCAATCGAAGGTGCCATCTGCGAGGGCCTTACAGGCTTCCCACCCATATGCATAGTCTCTGGCTATGATAGCGCCAGACACCGGAGCAAGGGCCCTTTTGGTATGAGTCATTTCATGCACAATCACGGTTGACAGGGAATGATGGGCCTCCAGGATGGTGGGGGGAATCTGCGCGATTCTTTCACTCGTGGGCGCCATTTTCGTGCTGGAAAAGATCCCCGGACAGATGTTGACTGTTTTGGAGAATGCGTTCATGGAGGCAAGATCCCCTCTCTTGCAAAAGTCATGATCGAAATCACAAGTGATTTGAAGACCAAATAATGAGGTTCCATCGAGCATCTCCTCAACCTCCTTGTAAACCTTGACTGACTCGTCGGCAAAGTTTGGTCGATCCCGAACACTTTTCGCAAAGTAAGTGTCGTAATATTCTCCAGTCTGCAAGTTCTTTTGTGCTGCTTGCACCATTTCAATTGCGTATGCAAACTCGATTTCGATTATCTTTCTGCGATTGACCGCACACTGAGCCCCATTTTTGTCAGTCCCCTATATCAGTTTGGGGATTTTCAAATTGCTAATACCGGCATCGTCTTTTGAAGCACACGTTCCCGGTGGGCCGTATCCTCGACTACAGGTGAAGTCACAGAGATTGTCCAGAATATCGGACTGGCCGGAGGCTGCGGCCCCTCAGGTTTTGGTCTGAGCCGGTGGCTGGACAAGAGCTCCTGTTTTGGTGCAGGTGCATATATTGATGGGGCAGTAACCGTAGCCACAAGCATATGAGCATAGCCCAGTGGCATCCCCATCTGCAGTACCAGCGACACAAGCAGGTGGCAGGAAGTCTGAAACTGTTGGAACCGGCATGGGATGTTCCGTCGTATCGCATAGTTTGGATGGACAGTGACCGTAGTTGCAAGAGAAGCTGCAGAGGCCCGCGTAGTTGGCATCCCTTCCCTCTGTGGAATAGCCAATGGTTCCAGTTGCCTTGGGCTTTGTGCGTGCGACGCCCATCTGTTCGCAGGTGCAAGCGCCGATAGGGCAATAGCCGTAAGAACATGTAAACGAGCAGAGGTCGTTGAATTCGTATGCACCTTTTCCTTTCACGCATACCTGATCTGCTAGGTCAACCTGAGTTTCATAGCTCTCGTCAGTTTGAAATGTCCCTGTCAGGCTTCTGTTGGGGATGTCAGGTGACATCCCACATTGGGATAGTCTCGCATGGAGTAGATAGATAGATATCTCTCGCTCTCTCTCTCTTTCTCCTTCTCTCCTCCTTCCGCAATACATTGTTCACATCTTCATGTTCTATTGCCCTTGTATGATATTCATGAAGTATGCAGAGTAGTAGCAATGGCACTCGTCATGATAACGGGAAAAGTCGACGACAGACACCAGGGTTGTCAACAAATGCAATGACCTTAGGCAATGAATAAAGGTGAGATAGATATGCTTGGTGCTTTTTCCACTTCCTGGCTCGGGTGACCACCAAATTATATAGTGCTCTACGAACTGAGATCAAACTATCGACTACCTCCTCCTGGGGTTTTACCTCTGTCCATCCGAGGCCTTTTTCTAGTGGCTTAGTTCGGCTTAAGCGGGTTTGAACACTATGTAGTAATGTATACCTGTGTGTCATGGTTTATCGAGAAATTATAGTTGCAATTCCGGTGAAGCCATGTAAAATATGGGTCTATCAGCGCACCCTTAAATTCCTTTCGGTAATAACCGACTTAGGCATGGCTAGGTAAGGTCTCTCACTTGTGCTCGCGTGTTACTCGTTCCTGGATTAACATGACTTCCACCTTTTCACTAAGCCCTGTAAGTGTTCCTCCGTTGAACGTGACATTGCTTGTAATAAGTACTTGTAGTAGTCTACTAAACGGTGTTTGGCAGAGATTTCATTTTAGACAAGCGGCGAATAGTACATAAACTTTCTAGGGCTAATGTGGAGCTAAAGGGCACAAGAACCAGTGCCAATATTAATCTATGTCACGAAGAATTCAGGATCAATGATCCTGAACCGATTCTGCCGTGTTCCACCGCCTTTCGTAGTTCGTGTTTTACATTGTTTGATTGGAGGCCTCAGGCATCACTACCTTAATTGTTTCAGCGTGTTGTTTCTTTCTTCTTCTTTCTTTCTTTCCCCATGTTTAGTATTCTAGTTGAATGCACTCTTTTTCATCAAGACTTGGCTCGTAACAATCTAGAGCAGATTAGCTTAGTTTAAGCCTAGAGATCCATGGAGGCTGCGGAATAGCTGGTGGAACTGTAAGACCCCGTTACGAGGGTCCTGGAGACTTAGGTGGATTCTGGAAATAGAATGGAGGAGAGCAGTAGCACAGTTCAATGCTGAACTAATGGCTGGAGTCTTGGACTCCAGCCCCTGAACTGTTATATACAACTGTGGAGTCATGTAAGGTCATGAGCCCTCGCACTGCGGGGCTCAGCCCTACGTCAGTTCGCACCTGCAAACTGGCCACCTCGCAGTCTTACATAGACTGCGAGATATGTATCATCAGACCTTCTCAGTACTAGGGTCCTGAGAGAAGTGCACCGAAAAACCCTGACCTGAATGGCATTCGAGGGTTTGGGTGAGTGCGCCCATCGCCGCGTCCTAGAGCCTCACTATCTTATCGCAACAGATGGACGCCAGCAGGCGGCCGTCGGGCGAGAAGGCCACTGATTCAACCGAACATGAATGGCCTTCCAGGGTCTGGGTGAGCGGCCGCCACCAGGTCCCAGAGCCGCGCTGTCATAAGCAGAGCCGGAAGCCAGCAGACGGCCGTCGGGCGAGAATACCACTGATTCAACCTAGCCTAAATGGCCTTCGAGGGTCTGGGTGAGGGTTTCCTTACATTGGCCATGGCACAAAATCGATTTGGCTTGGTGTGCTTTGTCCTGTATTTTCTTCGCTCTTCTCACTGGATTGTTCTGGAGCAAAAGGCTTCCAGCATGGGGTGAAGTGCTCTTCTGGGTGACTTCAAACTTCCAACCACTACAAACAGTAGTTCGACAGTACATGGAACTCTATTAGGGTGGGCCTGGCTAAACATGTCACAGTACCTCCGTATAGTCTTCCAGCAGCGGGAACACCCAAACATGCCTCGAATACTGCGCACCATATACCCTTCTGTTGCTGCACTTTCCACCCTGACTAAAGTGGTATTCTCTCTTGTGGGAACTTTCCTCCTGAGCCCTGCCCATCTGGGCGGCCTTTATATTCTCTCTGTGAACTACCTCAGTATACAATATTACTCTTGGTCAGCATGTCCTACAAAATTGCCAATTTCATGGGTTTTTTTCTGGGTTAGTTGGAGAGTTTGATATTACCATTCTGGAATCCATACAATATTGGTCACTGATTTCCATCAATATGAGTAATTCATATTTACTCACATGATAAGATATCATACATTACCAATCGTTTCAATACATCCCAATACGTCAACCACGCCCATATACTCTGTTCGTAGCGAATTACAAGTTTACGTGTCATTTATCAGGGTTACTTTACGGACGGATTTTGAGATGGATTGAAATAGTACCAGAGGAATCAGCAGGTCTGTCCGATTTTTTGACCAAGATCGCAATTGGGCTGACAGTTATATATAGTCTTCACTGAACTTTGTGGCCGATGTCGAGGTTCCATGGAAATACACGTCTGAATGAGTACCACATCGCGAATAGATCCACAACTGCATATCAAGCTGGAAAAAGCCCTGATAAGCGGGTTTTACTTTCCAGCATATGTCCACAGGCGAGATTCTACAATCCAGCATCGCTGATGAAGTGATGGCATTGTGAAATCGACCTTTTAACGTATTTCAGTAATACGATAACCGCTGTACTGGACAAAGTATTAATGCGGAGAAAAATCATAATATGAATAATGCGTTTATTCGCGCCAATAAAAAATTCATATATCCATATTGGGTGACGTAAGACTCGCTACAAGCACTATTGCGAAAAGGGTAGTTATAGGCAGATCAACTTGCCACATGGTATTCAATTGCCTCCAAATGATATCGCATGAACAGGAAGCTTTCTGGTATTCCATGTATCTGCGAGTTTTCAAGTGGACTAGAAATCCATGGTTAGTTTTAGGAGTATTGAAGCATACAGTCACCTTGAAGATCAGGATTTTTCAGCTTTTTGTCATGCTTCGACCTGGCTGGATGAGCCGGGGTTCCGATATGGGGGCGGACTTGGCGGCACTAGGCTCTGGCGAATGGAGACGGCCATTACCTGCCGTATTCATGCTGTAAATGGGGTGGACTGGGCGGCCCTAGCTCGGCTATCTCAATCCATGTAAGTGTGAGATCATAAACAATGTAATATGATGGTCTAGGTATACTCATAGGAGGCGTAGAGCCTTGTTTCAAACTCTGCATTTTGTCTTAGGAGACTCGGATTTCTCAAATTTACTATTTTACAACATATCGCGACTAATGAGGTTTGGTGGCACTTGGAGCTATCTGGTAACCTTCGTTTAACATAGCTAGCCCAATGATCGATAGCATGTTGTCTATATCAGGAACAATATTTGAGGGAAATGGGGCAGAACATGCATAAGAAAGGCTCGACTCTGACAAGATGTATATTCCCCATCGAGTCAAGACTGAAGGAATTCAACACAAGTTGGTTCCTCGAACAGAGCCAGTGGCTTCAAACAAACTAGCCCCTAAGTATGCATTACTGTACGCAAACTTGAACAAACAGTAACTCTCAACATGGATGACGAAATCGAGATGACCTGGTATACTCGGGCAAAAGCGTCTTGGCATGTAGGGTAATTCTGATACGCTCTCGCAATGCTACACCACTTATGGAAAAGATCAACTAGGCCGTTGATAGAAAGAAACAGTTATATAAAGGGCATCAACATGAGCCCTTCAAGTCCTTCTCGTTCCAGCTTCTCAAAATAAACTAGTTTACCAAGACCAGAGGATTCAACTTCTTCATTAAGAAACCCCATTCAAGTTGATCATGTACAGCATTGTTCCCGCTATGCTGCTCGCGGCCACCAGTATTCCATCAGCTATGGCAGCTCAATGCTCCGCTGTCGGCTATTGGTCCACCAACTCAGCCGGCGCTGGAAGCGGTGGCACTACCGTTAGCAGTGGCAAGGGCGTCACTCTCTTAGATCCAGATGGAAATGATATTGGCGCATACGACGGTGATTATTCGCCCTGCGCTGACCTCCTCACCTGGAGCTCTGACTATTTGGACGACACTTTTTCCTGGGGTGCCAACTGTGACACGGGCGGTTTCACGTAAGTCAATGCCCATTTTTTATGTTATTTGTGAGCATTAAAAAAGAAACTGACGTATATATTTAACAGTGAGTGCCATGGTGCGTACGGTACTCAAACCCACATTGACGGCGAGGAACCCACCAGTGGCACCAACTTTTATGGACTCGGGATTTCTGTTTCGTCTGGCTGCGTGGTTAAGTTCGATTGTTAGAGCCCAACGTTGGTTTCTGATTTGATTATGCGTTTATTGTATCTACTTTATCTTTTCCACGGGTCTCTAATCGTGTATGCCGACAGAAATTAGAGTTAATGCCATTTAGTATACGATCGTTGAATTATATTTGCTTGAATATTATGAAACATTCTCTTCGGGGCTTTTTTGGGCCCCTCGAGTGTGCGCCTTATCCCGTCATTTGGTGAAGTTGGAATACAACCCTCAGTCCGATTAAAATGATAGAATGCAAATAACAGACTCCCCTTTTAACCGTAGTCATGCAATAGCTCAAAATCAGACCGGCAAGTTGTAGAAGTATGTGGTGAAGTCCCGGTCAAAAACACCATTCGTTGGCTCAATTAAACATGGTTATGCGATGGAATCTGTTCCTTGCATAATTAGTAGTCATCAGTTCAGGCGGCAATTGCTAGAATGCCAACACCATAGAGCGAGGGTAAGGGTGTCGCAAAGAGAACCAAGTTATTGAGAGCTTGGACGAGCATGCAATCAACAATAGCCGATCAGCTCCATCGACAAATGGGAGCTGTCGCAGCCTTGCAAGTAATCCTCCGTCAATATACTTGACTCTATAATTCCAGCCAATCTCCCGTACAGTAAACTTCGAAAATAGTTTACCCCTCGGAAACACAGGCTTTCTTTCCCAGCGCCCCTCTTAGGTTGTACCAAACTGAATTCGGCCAGTAAAAAGTCCCCACCATCTTTTATTAATTTATTTCCCGTAGATCACCAAAATTACCGTAATTAAAGCCTCCGGCGTTGAGCAGACCATACTTGCCGAAACGCCCCTCGACCACACACTAGAATTCAAAAACAATTCACCTCCGGACACTCACGCTTTGTTTCTCGGTCCCCCGAAATCACGCCAACCTATATTTGGCGAAGAGGTAAATCAGCAGTTTTTGAAAATAGCATGGAAGGCGACACCGGGCGCTATAGTACCTATGTGCCCCCATGGTCACATCCCTACGCCCCACGTACCATTTTTGCTTGACATTTATTGGCTCTCGCAATCCAAGCTGTAAATGGCTTAAGTATAGTGGGTGCAAGATCGACATGGGGGCCAAAGGTGCATCGGCTAAGCCCCACAACATAGTTCCACGATGAGCATGAGTAATACCTGATCCCTACAGTATAAGTAAGTCGACCCAAACCCATTAATTTATACCATGTAATGTAGCATATATACTTTCTTGGCTTATTGATCGGATATTATGTATTGTTTTATCATTATTGGTCAATCAATCAATCAATCAAACTTCAATTAACCTGTTGCAGTCTTACTATTTGCGTATGACTATGCAGGCGCTCCCTCCAGCGGAAGCAAGAGCTCGTAGCCAAACGCCCGAGCTGGGGTCGTAGATCGATACCTGCTCTCGCAGGCACCCAATATCCCAAAGAGGAAACAGATGCTGATTTGAAAAGAGTGCGGAAATCAGCCCATTTCCTTCCTGCCAGCCTACAAAACAAATCCCAGTACAAATGAAAATCCCACAATGATGGTCACGGAGTGCACCCTCCATCTTCCATCCTCCATCCTCCCTTCCATCACCATCCCCCTCCTCCCCTTGCCTCCGTTTCAATTCGTGTTGTGTTGTGCTGGCCAGTTGATAGGCATGTTTGTCAACTGTCACCGGGCCTCTCGACACCCGGTTTCGTATGCTTCGTTGTTGATTACTCTGTCACGAAGAATTCACGATCATGAATCTGGAACCGGTTCTGCCGTCTCCCACCGCCCTTTGTAGAAGGTGGTTTGCATTGTTTGATTGATTGATTGATTGATGCATGCCTCAGGCACCACTACCCTAATTCTTTCGGCGCGTTGTTTCTTTCTTCTTTCTTTCTTTCCCCATGTTTAGTATTTTATTGGAATGCACTCTTTTTCATCAAGACTTGGCTCGTAACATACTCATCGTCTTCCACACTTGTGTCCATGGCCCGTTGGCCAGTTTGTTCGTCGTCGTCATTTCCCAGCTCCACGTGCTGGAATTGCTGGAGGAGACCTGTTCGGTGCATGAAGTTGACCACGTAGAGGGTGGCCTGCGGGTGAGATACGATTTGTCGTAGTCGGTTTCAAGGTCCTCGATCCGGCTGATCTGCCCCCACTGGCATTCCTGTACAAGATCAAGGCAACAGATTCGGACCGGTGTAGTTGCGACACTGCTTGCTGTACTGCAGACATTGCATAACAACATGCTTCGGTGTTTGTGAACCAGTGTCGCAACTACACCGGTCCGAATCTGTTGCCTTGATCTTGTACAGGAAATGCCTGAGTCCAATCCTCATTGTACGCATCTGAATCAAGATGGCACATTGTGGCTTTGACAGCCCTTCATACAGTCGTAGTGTCTTCTTAGTGGGCGTCTCCACTAAGCGTTTTGTGGGTCCTGAAGTGGGCTCACGCTCCCACTGCTTATTCCAACGTCCCCGAGTTCTGTGTCAAACTGCCCGCTTGGCGGCTGCGGCGAGACGGACAATTGGTTTTCCCGTTCTGTCTCCGGTCGCGACCACCATCCCCACGCCAAGGAGCGCTGCACTCTTCGCTTCCTCATCGGCAAATTCATTGCCGGCCACACCAACGTGTGCGGGGATCCACCTGACGGTGATATTGATGTTGCTGTGTTGGTCTTGTCTCTGGTTCTGCGACTGGATGGCCCGTACGTGTTCATAAATCGTGTTGAGAACGTATTGACCAGACGGTCGCTGTGGGTTCTTGTCGGAAGCCTGAGAAAGCAGGCCCACTTGTTTGTCGTGTTTGTTCATTATTCAGCAAGTAAATTACACCTATATATAAATTGCCAGAATTAGGGGTAATGGAAACCAGAGTTATTGACATCACCTGATTGGCCAGCACCAAGTTGTATTTCATAGTTATGAGCCCGAATAGCCATTTCTGAACCAGAAAAACACATCGATTACAGCAATCAGATCATCTGATAACCATAAATCGACCACTTGCTGGTTCAGAACCCCTTTTGAACCACCGATTGTGCATCTTCTGCAACGCCAACACACCCATACCCCATCCTCGCTAGCAAGCAATACAGCAAGTGATCACTACACTTCAGCAAGCATGGATGCGTCAACACTCTCCGCCATGAAGGGCGATAAACTTCGTGAACCAGCTCAATGGAGCACTTGGTATGCAAAAACCAGGCGCTTCGCCCAACTGCGCGCGGTTTGGGAGCTATGCAATCCAGAAGTCAATGAGGATGCACTCCCTAAGCGCAGTACGGAGCCGGTAGAACCAGAATACCCAGAAGACGGAGATGATAAGGAGACCCGCAAGTGGCGAGACCGCTTCGATGTCTATAAGCTTGCTCTCTCGAAGTATGAGAAGCAGACCAAGGGATTGAATGATGTATACGAATATATCTTTGCCACCCTTGACAGCAAGTATCATCGCTCCGTCATCACCAAAGAAACCCCGTATGATGTGCTTGTAGCGCTGAAAACACGGTTCGCAAGAAGCAACTCTTATAAGGAAGAGCTGCGCGACAAGTGGGAGCAACTTGCATCGCAGAAACCCGGGAAGGATGTCGACCAATGGATCGACAAGTGGGACACACTGCGGCAAGAAGTCATTAGCGTCGGCATCAGGGTTGATGATGAAGATGCAGTACGTTACTTCATCAAGGCTGTGAAGGAAGTCCTGCCAATGTGGTGGCAAGCGGAATACACTGCTGTCATCCTTAATGAAGAGAAGCGTGATATCAATCAGCTTATCGAGTCCTTTCGCAGTATCTACCGCGAAACAGGTGCTAAACCATCACTGTCAGCACCAAAGGCCTCCTTCTCAACCTGGCAAGGGCATGAGGAAGCTTCACAGCAAGTGGCAACAATCTCTGCTGCAAAGTCTAAGAAGCCAAAGCAGACTGCAGAGACCCCGTTTCACGAACGGTCCTGCCCATGTGGAAACACACACCCACGTCATAGAGTAGCAACTTGCTACTACATACGCCCTGATCTGATACCTTCGGACTTCACTATCAGGGAAGCCACGAAGAAAAGAATTGAGAAGCTTCTTACCGCAGAGCCAGAATGGCGCAAGTGGATTAACGAGGAAGTAAGGAAGGACAAAGAACGTTCAACGCCTAAGGAAACGGCGGATTTCACAACGGTACAGCCTGAAGTTAGCGCTCATCCACCAATAGTAACACTTGCAACCATACAAGTGCCCTCAGCAGAGAGCAACCGGGTGCAGCAAGTCCATGCTGGCAAACCAGCAGAAAGAACTCCTATCTACCATGTCAAGCCAGTCGATAAGAGAATTGAGCAAATGCCTGATCTTAAAGACCGATGGATCCTTGACTATGGATCAAGTGTGTATGTGTGCAACAACAAGGGCTGGTTCGAAACTATAACCCTATACCAAACAGAGTTAGCAACTGGCAACTCAATCACCAAGGGTGAGGGGATTAGAACAGCAAGACTTGCTATAAGAGATCCACAAACCGGCAAGCAACGAATCATACGTCTTACCAACGCCTTGTATATCCTAGGGTGCCATACCAACCTAGTTTCATATGCAAAAATGAGGCGACTTGGTGTGAAATGGTGTCAAGATACAGATACCATCGTCGACCCAAACAACCTGCAAATCGCGAAATTGCAGCTAGTGGACCTAGATCTATGGGTATTCGACTTGCCAAGCCACAACAGTGTCAATGCGATAACCAGAAAGTCAGAGAGACCACAGAAAGCGAAAGGATCTATAGAACTATGGCATCGCCGTCTAGCGCACATCAGCACAGATACGATTAAGCAAGCTAAGCAAATAGTAGATGGCATCGAGATCACAGAGGATAGCAAGGATAAAGAAGTCAACTCACCTTACCGAGTCTGCAACCTAGCAAGAGCACCTCGACAAATCTCTCGCCGACCAATTAGACGCACGTTTGGAAGATTTGGAAGAATTCATTTCGACCTAATACAGATCCAGCCAGCAGAAAACAGACATAGATGGATGTCACACTTCT